GGGGGGGGGGGGGGGCGTTTTATTACTTCACCATCTGAAAGTTTCTTATATATTATTTTCAGTTTTTGCGATGGTTTAAAGGGAATTACATGAACCTCACACGTCCTATTGAAAATTGGAATGGTGAAAATTGATCCTTTCAGTGTTCCCAATACATATGTGAAGTTAAAAAAAAAACTTTGGACAATCTCTTTAATATGGAACAAATGATGTGAAAAAATTTTGTAGTCATAATCATATTGCATTTTTAATGAAAAAAGACGTTAAACTCCAACACTTGAATTGTTGCTTCTGAATGCGTAAAGCTGCTGTTTTGTAAGTGTAGCCATCACTCGTTTGCCATGATTATGATAACTGTGAAAATATATATTTTTTCAAAAACTTGTAATATTTTATGTCGAATTCTGGTATTCTTTTATTTTTAATAAAAGAAATAATAAGAAAACTGTTTTGTCTTCTAATACTGCCATCAATTGTTTTTATTATACTTTCACTATACCAAAATCGCGATAGATTTTTTCACCGCTTTCCTAGATTCCTTGAACATTTTCTATTTTTTTTTCGATCTGTCGTTAGTCCGTCAATCATTGCAGTGACATAGTGGCGAATTCATTGGCATAGGGGCGAACTCATTGGCGGAGTGGACAATTCACTGACGTAGTGGTGAACTCATTGACGGAGTGGCGAACTCAATTTCTTAGTGGCGAACCCATTGATGGAGTGGTGAACTCATATATGTTGTTAAGTATGAAGCAATCCAGGGCTGAATACCTAATATATTGGCATTCAGTTTTAGCATTCCTTTATTGATATCTGTCATTGGAGTCAGTCCATGAATACCTCTTCCGTCTTTCTGCTAAGGATTCCGCCACCCCATCAAACGGGTAATTATTGGTGTTTCGTATTCTGTAAGGTAGCATCGACGAATGACAGATGAAATGTTTTCTCCTGTCTAGGGCTTCCTCATACGTCAGTGCGTCTGTGAGTTCGCCACTCCGTCAATGAGTTCGCCACAACGTCAATGAGTTCGCCACTCCGTCAATGAGTTCGCCACTCCGTCACTTGGATGATTGACGGACTGACGCCAATGACGAATTAAGCCAATGGCAATGAATGACGGAGCTACCGATTCATTGACGTAGTGACGGATGAATAAGGCGTGTATGCTGAAGGGCTAACTCATACGTCAGTACGTCAGTGAGTTCGTCACTCCGTCAATGAGATCGTCACTCCGTCAATGAGTTCGTCAATGAGTTCGTCACTCCGTCAATGAGTTCGTCATTTCGTCAATGAGTTCGTCACTCTGTCAATGAGTTCTTTCTAAAAATTTCGTTTTGATTTCGTTTTGTGATTATAATTCATTAATATTACATTTTTTGTTCGGTAGCATTGACGATTGACGTTATGACGGAATCACTGACGTGAGTGGCGAACTCATTGACGGAGTGACGAACTCACTGACGGAGTGACGGGTTAGGTAGGACGGAGTGGGGAGTAGTGGGAGGTGAGGTAGAATTAATTGAACTTATCTGATCACCGTTGAAATCACTACGCCAGACAAAATCGGTTGATTTACGAACTGAGATATTATAAGAACTCAATTTTTAATACTAAATACTACAAATCAAATGTACCCATGTATTTATTATTGGCTATATAAATATAAAGTTAAAGAAAGCCCGATAATATGCATGATAAAGATGAATCAGCAAAATCACAAAATAGTCCACGATTATTCAAGATGGCGATGCCTATTGAGAAAAACCGTGAAGTTGAAGAGTGATGGCGGAACTTCCACGATACGGTAGATCGTTCGTTACCGAGGTAGATTCATATTTGCGGAAATGTCGAGAATTGCTGAACGATACAAGGCTTTTTGGTCAACTATCAAATATCATTGCAAATTGGAAAATTTCAGCAATATTTGCAAAATTGTAGGTTGGAAAGGCCAACATGTACAGTGGTGTAACCTATTTTCGTGCATATAATGATTCAACTCCAAATTTCGTTAAAATTAAAGTTAAAAAAAGGAAATTTTTATGTGTCTTAAATGTTTCCTTAGATATTCTATAAAAAATTAAAATTGGTTTGTTTCGATTTTCTTTATGAATCCCTCACTTTCACCCATGAGTAACCAACTCAACAACGGCGGCAAAATGCGTCACCTATTTTCGTGAACAATGTTTGATCTATAAATAAGTCTAGAAAAACACTTGCTGTATTGATACCCAGTGGTATAATTAACTAGTATTTATCTTTAATATCAATTCATTATAGCTAATCACAATTCCTTGAAAGAACCATGATTTAAAAAAAACAGTGACTGACAAAATAAGATACGTAGCGTGATTTATTGCTAAAAGTTATTGAAATAACATAAGAATATGGCCCACATTGTGTTCCATAGAATTTTTCTGCTGACACGGAATCCGCTAGTTGATCACGTGACTTCATTAGTTGGACTACATTCTAGCAGGCTACACTTGGAATTCCGATTAGGCTACAGCTTGGGATTATAAGGAAATTCGGCCGAAAAAATTGTGACGTTTGGTAATAACTGAAATCCGCCATTTTGTATTTGTCAAGGTAAACATAAATACAGTTTACTTTGCTTGAAACTACTGGACCGTCTTCATAAGCCCACAAGGTGCAAAAAAGTGACGTAAAACAACACCTATAACCATTCATTTCATTTGAAACTACTGGATTCATTCTACTAGCTGACATTGTAAAGATAATCCATGTTTATCAAAACAAGTAAATGCGGAGGTCACGCGAGGTCGCACATGGAAATTATTAATCCTTTCCGGAAATGCACGAAAAATTGGTTATCACGAAATTAGGTTACTTGACTGTAATTGTAGACAAAGCCATATTTAATCAAAAACTTCGTATGATTTGAAATTATTCATTCAGAATTATCCTCCAAGTAAAAAAGCTCTGGACTGTGGCATATTCAGGTCGCAATATAAATTGACCAACTTCCATTCATAACGAACTTTGTATAAGATGTTGATGAGAACATATTCTCATATCTTGACTGCAATGCTAAAATTCTAGCATCACGGAAGTGTGTAAATGCACACAAATACAAATGATGTATTCGGTGGCGTACATTGCAATCAGATTGCTGCATTCCGCGTTGTAGTCAGGTATAAGATGAAGTTTGTAAGAGCTCTACAGTTTAAGGGAAAGAACTGCAACCCAGAAGTTCACGCACGCCACCTATATAGAGTTATTACCGTTCTGTTTTGGGAATAAATGTAACCCAATTTCGTTATAACCTAATTTCGTGTATCTCCGGAAAAGATAAATAATTAACACGTGTGACCTCGTGTGACCTCCGCATTTGCATGTTTTGATAAACACGGGTTATCTGCTCATTGTCAACCAGCAGAATATTTCCTATCGTTTCAAAGCAATGTCAAATTCATTATCTATTTCTAACAAATACAAAATGGCGGATTCCAATTATTACCAAATGTCACAATTTACAAATAATCCCCAGCTGTACTCGGAATTCCAAATGTCTTCTGCTAGAATATTATATTCCAGTGAACAAACTCACGTGACAAAACAAGCGGATTCCATGTCAGCAGAAAAATTCTATGGAACACAATGTAGGCCATGTTCTTGTGTTGTTTCAATGAATTTTAGCAATTACTCTTACGTTTTATTTATCTTATTCTTTGAAAGAATTGTCATAGTTATAATGAATTGATGTTTAAGATAAATACTAAGAAAAGTTAATTATACCACCCGGTATCCATACAACGTGTTTTCTCGGCTTATTTAATTATAGATAAATATTTTCCACGAAAATAGGAGAAATTTCGTTTTTTTTTAATTTTGATGAAATTCGGTGTTGCATCCTTAAATATGCACGAATATAGGAAAAGTAGGACGTAAAACTCCATTTCATTTCATTTTCAAATAGCTATCAGAAGCTGAAATAGGCTTAGAGTCCACAGGCATCTGTTTCTATCAATAGTCGATCATCTCTATAATATGAGTCGTTTTTGTCGCACGATTCGATTAGGTAGATTAGCTATTTTGTGCATTTGCCAGGACGTTTAGGCTAATCGGTGCATTTGTGAGACAGTTTACCTAAACTGATTAGGCTAATCGACCTAACCGTCCCAGTAGGTGGTTAGGCGATTCGATTAGGTGTGACGTCATTGGTAATTTATACTATTGGCTAATATCAATGTTGTCTATATTTACACAGATGTCAAAGAATAGATGTCATTGGCTAATATTAATACAATAGACAACCTTCTTTTGTTGATGCTGCAATTTCACGCCGGCCTGCAAGACAGCTTTCTTGTAAAACTCCAACTCCTAGTTGTATTAATATGATAATCGTTCATGTAAGCAATTTGTTAGTGATCATGTCAAACTGACTGATTTCCTTGGATTATTGTCCGATTTGGACCAAGGACGAAGTTGTTACTTCCGGTTTTCACAATTTGATTCAAGGACGACATGATAAGCATTCTGAAAAATGGCAGAATTTGATAAAGAAAATGACGGTCAGAAAGACCTCACTCATGATTTATATAATGCGACTGTCAATTCGAGACCCAATGTTATCGCACCAATTTCTGCTATGGCAGTGGCTTGCCTTGCAATCTCCAAAGAAGTAATGTCCAAGGCGAAACCAAGCAGAAAATATCTAACCCCTATTGGTACTTTGAATTTACTTTATTGAGATAGATCTTGATCTACATTTCTTTTATATTGTATCCAAAGGAAAAGGCTAACTTCACCTTTTGAATGTCATGATCCTGTCATGATGTTGTGTAGATACCTATCTTCCTGTGCCAATGGCTGAATTTCAGACATTCTCGACTGGTTCATAGGCGTAGGAGGGGAGGGGGGGGGGGGGGGGGGTCAATATTGTATTTTCAGGCAGACAAGGTATTGTTTTTTGCAGACTCGCGCCTTTGGTCCTCGGAGACCGTAATTCTCAACCCTTCAAAATTTGTGGTCAGACCATTAGTAAACTCTCACTTCTATCATTTATGTATTAATATTCATGAAAATAGCTGCTAATTTTTAACCAATCCCATATAACTTTTATTTCCACATGAATCTGTGTTATCTGTGATATTGTATAAATATACAATAGGCCCTATGGAACCTTATTGGCCTAGTTTGAGAAAATACATTTTATGTGCATTCTGAGAGGTAGTAACTCTTCAATAAAATGCAACATTTGATTTTTTGACTCATTTGATCTGAGTTTTCTTTTGTTGTTGTGCTGATACTGATTCCTTCTTTTCTCTGTAGCCTCTTAGATTCCAAACATCCTAGTACTTCTGAAGAACTTATTTATTATTATTTCAGTTCTTGCTAAGTTAGCTATAGGTGGTGCTGTGGGATATGCATCTGCAATAACTTTTGAAAAACTCTATTGTAAACATTTTAAACAGAGAATATTAATTGTAGAACAATATATAAAGTCACATCCTGAACAGTTTGTACAGCAAGGTAAGATCAATAAGCCATGGGTTGCTTAGTCCTGGATGAGAATTTATCTTCAATTAGAGGTTATTTGCATTCATTTTAAGATTAATGAGGACACAGTAGCAATTGAGTCAATTTAAGAGAATTTAAGTTGTTGTATTGAGGGTTTGATAAATCAAATTTTTATTTGAAATATTATAACAATTATATATTTTTTATTTTATTTCAGAGCCCAAGAAATTTAAAGATATTGTATTACCATGGATTCCATATCGATAAATGTATTTATCAACATGACTAGAGCATAAAGTAAAAGACTGTAGAATTTGTACTTGGGTTAAAATATGTGAAATTAAATTTATTAGATATTTTGTTGTGCTGGTTGTCCTTGAGTTACTGGAAAGGCAAATCTTGGTTTCCCTATGTTTAAGTACATAGCTTGAAAGCCCTGAACACGATTTGGTGTTTATAATATTTGCCTTCTAGAATTTCGCAAGCTAAAAATTGAACAAGAGCAATAACTCATACTCAATATTATTCAGTATCACCCTAAAGAGTTCAAAAGAAGTGTATTACTGAAGGTTGAATATTTCATACTGGTGATTGTTACTGTACTGCTAAAAAGCTGCCAGTCAGCGTTTATTACCTTGCTTGTCATTCTAACAGAACTGCTGTGATGATTGCCTCTGCAAAGAACATCACATCAATATATACACCACCATAATATTGGCATATGTAGCCCTCTTGGATTTATATTAGAATGAGAGAATAAAAGAATTGATAATATATAACAGGTCTTTAATATCATGGCTTAACAGAATAATAACTACATGTGCACAATGTTTAGAAACAAATAAAACAATTGAACAAATAGAACTATAACAATTTTAAACCCTCTGTGAACTATGTTTATGCGCAATGGATAATGAGTTTACTACAGTCTTTCATATCAGGAGATATAACTTACTCCAATTGTTCTTAAGGCCTAAGTTGCAAAGACACATTTTCACTCAAGTTATAAATATTATATGCAAGTAGTAAATGTAAACACCTGAAAATTGTTGTTATCTCTCTTATCCAATAAATTTAAGCCAAGGTTGTAAATGGAAATTGTAGTTATCTCCCTTTACTTAAAAATCTTAGTCAATGCAGTAAACAGGCACGATATACAAACTGGGATGGGAAATACATAATTCAGTTCACAAAATAATGGCGATATGATAATAAACAAACAACTGGTCTGAATAAGACATAAATCTAAACTAATGCTCATAATTCACATACCGAGAGAGGTGCTTGAATTGTTCCTAGAGGGGGGTATGAATTCGACATGCGGAGTCGAGGAATTCATAATTGCGTTTTTCGATTTTAAGTACAAAAATCCTTATTACATGAAAAATATGAGTTTTGTAACATTACAACCCTACAAATATGATCTACGATGATTCCCTTCACATGACATAAAATTTAAGGAAAGTAAAATTCAATATTACCTGAATGAGAGAATAAAAGATTTGATAATTTATAACACGTTTTTAATAAGCATGGCGTAACAAATGTATTGTGTTAATAGACTGGAATTCTAAGCAGTTCATATTGAATAGGGTATGTCATATGACCTGTGTTAAACAATATTTGGCTTATTATATGATATTAAAGAATCACTAATTCTTTAATACACATGCAAAAATAATCAAAAAAATAGTTGCACATTTTATGCAATTCCTTACACATACAAAAGCTCCAAAGCTGAAAGAGATTGTAAATGTGAAGTCACTATCTGAAAGGCCTATAGATATTGTCAGTACAAATTTTGCAATAATAGTGATATCACTATGTCACTATACACTGTGTTTAAGTGCATTTATCAAAAAAAACACAGAATGATGCAAATAGATTCAATAAATGGTCCCTGATACACATAAAAAGTTAAGAAAACCTCTTTACAATCGCCTTAATAATAAAACATAACAAATACAATGCAACACAGAAAATATTAAATAACAAAACAATCTTATAATATCTTCTATTGAAAATTACTTTACTTAGATAAGATTTATTTTGTTTGATTATTTAATTGCAGGCAAACTGAAATAAGATTTTCATTCCACAAAATTATATGAAAAGTTGAAGCTAATACAGTTATAAAAGTAAATTTTTTCCCTATAAGCTTAAAATCTGTAGGCGTATATAATAAGCTTGTGTATATAACATGAAGACAAAATTCAAAAATTATTACATTACATTATGAAGTTAAAAATTACAAAATTTATAAAAAGAAATGTCACCAAGGTGAAAATCTGTGAATAGCTCTAATTATTATTAAGAAATAGAATAACCATAACCAAAGTTAGATTTGAGATTAAATATGATGTATCCTTGAATGATAAGTAATTCCAACCAGTATTGCCAAAATCAAGAAGTTTGCCTTGTTAATAGTTTATAATTTATAATGTGAGCATATTTCAGATAACAAGCATGCTGAAAAAGTGCCATCAAGTCTCGATTAAACCGTCTTATGGAATGTTTACAAATAAGACAAATTCTGCAGTAACAAATTGGAAGTCAAAAAGACTGTTTATTAAATACAGATGAATCTGATGTCCTATTATTATTCTGAACAGTGTTAGTGGTATTAGACCAAAACACGAAATGTCCAAATATCTTTCTTTCCTTTACTATTAACATACATAGGCCTATGTATGGGCAAATAAATTTTCCAACTTAAATAAAATCTCTAGACTACAATTGACGATGTTATATAAAACTTGAATATTGATTGTTAAATTCTGTTATATGTAATAATATACTCTGGATAAACAGAACTGTTATCATACACAGCAAACTCACGAAACAACCAGGTTCCATCAGCCATGACGGAATCAAAAAATTCATGACCTTGCTCACAATGTGACTTCAAATGTGTTAAATCAGTACAAGGAGGTCTCTTATATTTTGTTGGATTTTTACCAATACATAGATAAGTATTTCCCAACAATATCCTGCCCAGAATCATCTGCTTTGGTCCTGGTGTACGATTCTGTTTTGAATCTGAAATAAAAGAAGCAAACTTTTCAAAAACTAACATTATTATCAACTTCATCATTCTTATTTTTTAGGCTGGTGCTTTTTATACGCCCACATGAAAGGTGTATATTGCCGTCACCCATGTCTGTCGGTCCATCCATCCGTCCATTGCTCGTAAACACTGTAGAAGGCACAATTCTTGACTATTTTAAAGTAAATCGAAAAATAATTAGTATGAGTTATTGCCCGCGTTCTTGAAATGATCGTAAACACACCAGAAGGCGCAATTCTTGATGGATTTTGACGAAACTTGGTGTGAGTGTCTGATATCATCAAAGGATGAACCCTTTTGGAAATCAGACAAATCGAAAAATATTTAGTATGAGTTATTGCCTTTGTTCTTGAAAACACATTCAATTTTTAGCTTATTAACACTGTAGAAGGCACAATTCTTTACATATTTTGATGAAACTTGTTATGAGTGTTAGTAATCACCCAAGGATGAACCCTATTGAAAATCAGACGAATCAAAAAATATTTAATATATAAGTTATTGCCTTTGTTCTTGAAAACGCGTTCAATTTTTAGCCTATTAACACTGTAGAAGGCACAATTCTTTACATACTTTGATGAAACCTGGTGTGAGTTTTTGTTATCACCCAAGGATGAACCCTATTGAAAATCACAAGAATCGAAAAATTAAGTATGAGTTATTGCCCACATTCAATTTTTAGCTCATAAACACTCTAGAAGGCACAATTCTTGACAGATTTTAACCTGGTGTGAGTGTTTGTTATCACCCAAGGCTGAACCCTATTGAAAATCAGAAAAATATTTAATAAGAGTTATTGCTCTTGTTCTCGAGAACACATTCAATTTTTAGTCAGTAAACACTCTAGAAGGCACAATTCTTGACAGATTTTGATGAATTTTTCTGTGAGTGTTTGTTATCACCCAAGGATGAACCCTATTAAAAATCATAAGAATCGAAAAATATTTAGTATGTTTTTGAAAACGAATTCAATTTTTAGCTCGGAAACACTAAATACGGCACAATTCTTGCCAGTTTTTGACAAAACTTGGTAATATTGTTCAGTATCACCCCAAAAAACCGACGGTTGAATATTTCATACTGGTGATTGTTATTGTACTGCCAAATATTCATATTCAAAATTGCCAGTGGGCGTATATTACCTTGCCTGGCAAGCTATCTTTGCAAGAGAGTTTGGTTAAAATATTTTGTATCAACAAGGTTCAACGATAAAGGACCAAGGATTTGCAGGAGTTTTTAAGTACTTTTAAGGACCTTTGATAAAACTGAACTATCTTACCAGCATACTGATCTGCTTTAGTAGAACTTTCCGACATATAAACAGCTGATCCGAATAAATTATTGTCTCCAGAACTACGATGGTCTAGACCTTCCTGACTAATAGCTTTAGCTCTTGAAGTTCCATGAAAAGCATAATGTTCGTTTACTTCAGGAAAAATATCTTCTGTCAATTCTTTTCCTGCTAGTTTTGTTGTCAACATTGGTCCTGAACTATTTGGTATTCTGCTTATGTTAGTGCATGGTGTTTTCCTTTCAAGAGCTTTAGAAAAAAGTTCACGTCTTCTAGCACAATATTTATAATACAAAACTGTATTTTCTACACGTTCAATAGTGGTAACTTGTATGTTTTTGTGATTCAAATTAGCGGCATCTCTACCATGCCCACATTTATCTGCGCGCCAGGTTTTCTGAACTAAATCTTCTATACATTTATATAGTGAACTAGTTGAACTTAACGGCTCCAAAATATTCTTTTTATTTCCTAAATATTCCTTCACTTTTGATGTAAAGGGTTTTGATTTTTTCCAGTAGGCTGGAGGTTTCTGTTCTGTGTTTGAAACCATATAATGAAGATGCTCTAAGGTTCCCCTTTTTGGTATTGGATCTTCTGAGCTCTTATCATTAAATGCATGTTGTTTATGGATTTCTTTCAGTAAAATTTCTTGAATTTTAACCTTTGCATCTTTGACAGCTTGTATTTTTCCTTGAAACTTTATTTCAGGAACATGTTTTTGCTGAATATCTAAACATAAAATATGTATTTGTATTTAACAAAATAGCTTGCCAGGCAAAATAACATATGCCCACTACCAGCTAGATTCTTAAAAATATTTATAAGTCAAAGCAAAACCTCACATTCAAACATTGAGAAAAGTCTCATCAACATACACAACCATTCATCTGGTTATCGAGCTTGAGCAAGATCTCATCAATGTATGCATATCTAGTTTCATCAAGATTAGATTCTATCGTGCGTGCAAGCCAAATTTGAAGCAATTTTACTAACTCAAGGGCAACAACTCTGAAACCATTCATATGATTATCGAGCATGACTGAGATCTCATCATTATTTACATGCATCATGGGTAGATTTTAGATTTGAATATATGTAAAGTCTTCAGAAGTACTAGAACCTTCAAATATAACAATAATTACGAATTTCACATTCTATTTCTATAAATGTCTTTTCTATACATGTCTCAAGAAAAAAACTAGTGGTTAATTCTAACTTTCAATCCTGATAATTCTAGCACCTGAATTTGAAGGCTCAAATTTCGAGGGTGAGCTGTGAACACTGTTACTATCCCTGTCACCATTGGTGAACTGATGGTGAAATCATCTGTTTAAATTATTGTTTTCTTAATTGAATATTGAATATATTTTATGAATTTGAATATATCATCATGTAGAGCTAAATCTTGTTTTATCACATTTCTATTTTGATCAATGGTCAGATGAAGGGTGTCGGGTGTGAAGGTGACCAGGTGCAAACACCTTCATTAACTTCACAAATAAAGAGGTGGATGTGAAATGAAATCAGAAATATAATGGCAGAAAATGCATACCAACCTTTTTGTTTAATGTCTGGTAAGATAATAGAAACATGAAATCTTTCAGCATGTGCTTTGATCTCTCGAAGTATATATTTATTGAGATGTATTATTGTGTCATCTTTTACACTATCTCTATATAAATAAGTAGTTGTTAGGTACTTGATTAAGTTGTTTTTAGCTTTATCAGAAGTCATTTTGGAATCACAATACAACTTAATACCACTTTCAGGAGAATCATACACTGCTTTATCTACAAAAATTTGAATTTGATGAATCATGACAAGTTTGTCATTTTTTGCACCAACTTATAACTGGTACTTAGAAATCTGATCAGATAAACTGTTGCTTATCAGGGCAGTAACCATCATCATCTATTTGAAGCACCAACAGCACCATAATTATCACAATTGCATCAAAGTTTCATCACAAGTATATGATACAAAGTGACACCATAAACAGATAATATATAATTAAAGAAAATACCTTGAGCAGAATGTATAGTGAAGTCATCTTCTGAGTCACTGTTACTCTCTGACTCTGAACTGACAAGAGCAGCTGCTCCACGATCAGGAGACTGAGGTGGACTATATCCATAGTTACTCATTTGGTTTGAAAACTCTTTATACACTTCATCATCATAGATAACAAAAGTAACATTCTAAAATAGAGAGTAATATACATTTACATTTATTAATGGGTTTCCTTATTTTTTAGTGTCAAATTAAGAAAACTATTTGATTGATTATTGTTTCTAATGAATTATCATGTATTCTTAATCATATCAATATGTTCTTATTGCATATAATTAAAGAGTTTTAACCAAGCATAAATGTCCATGTATGTACAGTCTGGATAAACAAAAAGACTTTTAAACCTTTCTTGATCGGTCAATCATAGGAATTCTGCTAGTAATTAGGGGAGTAATGTTAGTTTATGTTAGGAAGTACCCAAATGTTTACCCTGTCTATAAGTATTTCTACATTACCTTAATATTAGGATAACTTTTTATAGAATCTTGTAATTCTTGAAGACAAACAGCTGAAATCTTGTCTGGTGGAAATCTATAGAGTTTACCAACTCCAAGAGCAGGAAAAGCTACAGATGAAACATTATGGGCATTACTTTTCAATAAAACATTTCTGATAGCTTTTGACAAAACCTGGAAAAGACAATTGAAAGAATGGCTCAATTCTTTATTATCAACTACTTTATACAAGGATGACAACTTAGGTTCACTTAAGATCCTTTTTACCAGCTGGTAATTGGCCAAACATCCCGGCATTGATTTTCTTGTATTATATCCTTACTCAGCTCATGGAATCATGAGTGAAAAGGGTTATGGAACATTCACACACCAATGTGATTAGAACTCCAACATTTGTTTGACATAACCAATCAAATGACTTATGTATAGAACTAATACCCTAACTGACTGCTGCAGAACACATTATGACATGGGTTCAAACATAATCTGCATGAAACAATGTTACAAACACTGTGGAAGTAACATGCTTTGAACTCCCATGGTATGTTCTTTTTGAATGGTAGAAAATTATATATCTGGAAATATCTAACCTGTAATGATGTTGCACCTTTATACTTCTCTAACAAAACATGAAGAACATATTTACAATTCAAGTTTCCAAAACAAGCTGTTTCTAAAATTGTACCAACAGGTACATTGATTGAGTTCTTGGCACTAAAAGCCATTGAAAGATCAACATTTACTGGTGAACTAGGATTAAATCCTGCTTTGGTCTTTTCTGCTTCAAAAGCCTAAATAAATAATGGTATGAATGGAAGTGTACATCCAACTCTTCTACAATAAATGTCATTCAATGTTTTATTTGGGAAAAGATGCCAGGACAGCAGCATGAGCCTTCTCTTATTTTGATTTCCAAGGGATCTTTGACATGCACAGACTGTAGAACAGGAGCTTTGTCGCTGAGGGGAAAACCAGGTTGAAACAATCTGAAAGTATATTACTCTCGACCTATGCCAGGATTGAACCCTAGACAATAATATGGAGAATTCAGATGACTGAAAGAAAGTAATCCATTTCACTGCAATCAAAATGATTAAAAAATTGATAACGCCTTATTACACTTGCCTTTTCAAACTGTTGTCCACCAGATTTACAAAATGAAACACCAACTGCAGTACTTCTCAAATTCAAATATGGACTTAATACATTAACTAGAACATCAGCCTGAATAAAGATATGTGTAGATCACAAAGTATGTAATTGAATTTAAATAAGGTTAGCCTTTTTCGGGGGTTGACTATGGTCTTAAGTACATGTTACTAGTCTTCAGAAGTACTAGAAGTATATAATAATTCTTCTATCTGAGACTACGGTAAAATTATTCAAACGATAACGTTTTAAAACAGGCCTATTGAGCAGATGACCAATTCTTGCAGCTGATATATCTACCTATTGTTTAGTGTAAAACTCCTACCAAGAAATTGAATGTTAGCTGATTCTGGTTATCTAGATCAAAGCATTCAAATTTTAAAGTTACCTTCTCTCTTGTAATATCACCCTTTTTAACAGTAATAGTAGCTTGGTGAAAATTGACAGAACATGTTGGTCTGTAGTTACTACTTGGCCTCTTTAAAAAAGAAGGTTTTCTTGGAATTCTGGGTTTTGAATTTCGAGATGGAAAAGAAGCCCTGAAATTTAAAAGAGTAATGGAAAAAGGTTGAAATGATTAATCTAGTAGACAGGATCAACTGAACATAAAATGCTAAAAAAAAAAAGTTTTTTACCCTTCTTTCTGGGGATCCTTCATCATAATCACAATAAGACAGCACCTCTATTTCGCAGTAATTTATCTTGACTGTGAGATTTTCTGTAATCATAAATCATATCTCACCTGGGAAAATCGTTTCGATGTTCTGGTTTTAAATTAAGAAATTCAATACAACATTTATTTTCAGTTTCAAAAGTTGTAATAAAACGTTTCTGATTGGTAGTTTTCAGACTACACACTAACAATTTTAACTCTGAAATTGAACAAGATTAAGAGATGCATAATATAATGGATAAAATTACCTGCAAATACAATATGAAATAAAACAAAACATATTTTTTGTTATTTTAAACAGATTGTAAGGTAGTGGATCACGCCCAAATACACCAAGCTAAGGATGGTAAAAGCAGAAAATTTCTCATTTACCTACAAACCAAGTTTCATGAAAAGTAGTTGAAATCTTTAGGATCTAAAACTTTTTCAATAACGAAGATTACATTGTTGAGTTCAGAGAGCACTCAAATTCTGATCTTTATATTATTGAAATTCATTAAAAACTACAGTGTTTCTGAGGAATGATGCATTGTGGGCTGACAACATACATCCACATAGAGAGATGCAGGTGTATAAAAACATTCCAGTTTTTATTTAATTTTATTCAAGCTTATCTGCTTATGAACGGTATACCTGCGCCATTTTGGGTTATGTCCCTTTTCAATAAAACTTGTTCATGCCATACTGATTCCTTTATATCCCCTATTTTCTTCAGAACTTGTTGAACTTTCTCAGGACTACCAGATACTTCAATATTATATGATGATTCACTTAATTCATCTTGTAAAGTTCCATGGCAATCTCTACAATAAGTAAAATGAGATTTTAAAGTCAGCTGAAACAACACAATTCCAAGAGTTTGACAACAGAGCATCATGTGAATGTAAAATTTACGTCCAATAAGAAAGTATATGTTCAGATGGAAATTGGATATGAGGAAAATATGGACCAATAGGGATGTATTATTAAGAGATTTCCTAAACTCTTTATATGTATCAGGAATAGATAGGATCGATTTGTAACATTTCAATTTTCAGTTAGACATCTATAGTTCTAAGTGTTCCCCATACAAGTAAAAAGTTTAGAAAACTTCTATACCATGAAAATTCTTTAATATTGAATCTAATCAGGGACAAAGAGCTCGCTGTTTCAGGAATCCATTAAAAAAATTTCAAATGCTTGAATACAAACCGTAAGGAATCTCTTAATGAATTGATGCTAGCTTTAAAATATAATGCAATACAACGGGACATGGCACCAGTTAGAGTTATCGTCTTGGTATCATGTTGATTTTGAAGCAGAACCGCCAAAATATCTTTCTTTACAGCAACCACATCACCATTTAATCCATAAATCACTATCATATCTTGTTCTTGAACTAATTTGATCAAAAACATTTCCTCTTTCTCTTTCAATTCATTCCATGAACTTGCAACAAAATGGCGGTAGGAATCTTTTATAGGTATTTTTTCTATTAGAAATTGGTTCTCAGAAAATCTAAGGAATTGTGTTATTTCTGTGGGGTTGATTCCTGCCACAGCTAACGCATCTTTTTCCATATATCCTATCACTTCATCAGTACCATCAAAAATAGAACTTAAATATTGTTCCCCTTTCACAGAGTTCAATATTTCAAGGAATGGTTTTTGTAATTTTTGGGTTATTCTCTTGTCTATGGATCGAAGTAATTCAAACATTTCAATTTTTGAAATATCAATGTCCTCTTTCTTTCCTTTAAAAACTATTTTAGATATTGAACTAGTTACAGAAATTTGAACTTCACAATTTTTCAAGTTGTTACCAAAATTTATTTTTTCTAACAGTTTAGCCTTGTGATAGTCATTTTGGTCAAACACATATTCTGATGTCTCTATCGGTATCTCTTTTTCCTCAGTATTTCTACAAGAAAATTTACAATAGTGAACCAAGTGAACCAAGCAATTTTTGCAATTGTACTTCTGAAGAAGATATTTTAATTTGACCAAAATATTGAATATTTGTAAGATGTGATCTGAAGAGTGGAACCTATCTATCACTGAGATATAAGTTAGAGGTGATTAATCTGATCTTGTTATATTTAAATGACATTGTAGTGACATAAGTTCAGTAAAGGAACAGTACTGTTGTGTGATAATATGATAATAGTATCAATGAACACAGGAAAAGCAATTCAGTACCATACATTGATACTTGTTACTTTCATCCTAGTTTAGACATTAATAAAAGTCGTACATTACACCTGTCTCTTACTTTCACCAAATTGAACAAGTGGTTGCTTTGCTAGATACGATCACTTCCCTGATACATTTTCAGTATGTCAAGGGCGATCACTAATCTGTATCAAGTCGAACTAAAAATCTAACTTGTGCAAGATATTGTTCATTTAAACAAACACACAAAGTTTATCTATCGCGTTCACAAGCCAACAAATTTTGACGTGTTTTTCAAGGGAAATAACTCAAAAACCAAATTTCATTTAAATCGGATAAAAACTGCAGTCTCTATTGTGTTCACAAACAAATTTTGATGCGTTTTTCCTAAGTCAAGGGCAATAACTCAAAAAAACTTCATAGAAAGATCGTCAAATGGTCCGAGATCTTATTTATTCCAAAGATAGCTTGATAGTTTCATCAGAATCCGATGAAAACTGTAGCTTCAATCCTGCTCACGAACTATTTTTAACAAATTTCGGCGCGTTTTAACAAAGTCAAGGGCAAAAACTCAAAAACCGTTCATCGAAAATGCGTCAAGTTAGAACTTGTACGAGATCTTATGAAATCCAATGATCACACCAAGTTTCATCAGAATCGGATGAAAACTGTAGCTTCAATCCTGCTCACGAACAATTTTTAACAAATTTCGAAGCGTTTTAACAAAGTCAAGGGCAATAACTCAAAAACAGTACATCTAAAATGCGTCAAGTTAGAACTTGTCCGAGATCTTATCAATTCCAATGATCACACCAAGTTTCATCAGAATCGGTTGAAAACTGTAGCTTCAATCCTGCTCACGAACTATTTTTAACAAATTTCGATATGTTTTAACAAAGTCAAGGGCAATAACTCAAAAACAGTTCATCGAAAATGCGTCAAGTTAGCACTTGTCCGAGATCTTATGAATTCCAATGATCACACCAAGTTTCATCAGAATCGGATGAAAACCGTAGCTTCAATCCTGCTCAGGAACTATTTTTAACAAATTTCAAGGCGTTTTAAGTTAAGGGCAATATCATAAAAACCGTTCATCGAAAATATGTCAAATACGAACTTGACCGAGATCTTATCAATCTAAAGCATCACACCAAGTTTCATCAAAATCAGATAAAAACTGTAGTCTCTATACTGCTCACAAGAAATGTTGACGGACGGACTGATGGAAAGGGGCGACGACAATATACGACCACATATTCATGTGGGCGTATAAAAATCATACTAAGTTTTATCAAAATCGGTTGAAAACTGTAGTTTCTATAGTGCTCACGAACACATTTTGACGCATTTTTACAAAGTCAAGGGCAATAACTCAAAAACCTTTCATCGAAAATGCGTCAAGAATGAAAACTGTAGTCTCTATTGTGTTCACAAACAAATTTTGACGGGTTTTTCCTTAGTCAAGGGCAATAACTCAAAAAGCGTTCATTGGAAAATCTTCAAATTCGAACATTATAATGTGGGCGTATAAAAACAAAATTTAAGAGTGGAAACAAATACTCAGTAAAAACTTGTCCTTGGTTATGTAAAGATCAAGTTGCTGACATGATTGCTGACATAATCGCTTGCAAAATAAAAAGGCTTAAATCTCACCTGTCACTGGCATTCTGAGAGTTCCGAGAAGAACTCGAAGATGATTCTTCATTAATATGAATATCATCCATATCTATAGCAAGTATATTCTCTGAGCCTGAATCACTATCACAATCACTATCTTTATCACTATCAGAATCTTCACATGTTAAATAACAATTTTCATTACTGTCAACATTATCTTCATCATCAGATATCTGTTCCCTGTTTATCTGTTCTAATCTTCTCAAGGCCTCTCCTTGGAAAACATCATAGAAAACTTCAACTGAAGCCCCTGGGATAACCTTTTTGACCAAAGTATCTATAACTGCAAGTATAAACACAGAAAAGCATTTCATGAGTGGAAAAAAATGCAAAAAAAAGACTTATTTTAAAATAAATTAATTTGAGAAAAATAATCATGATTATGGACTTTAATTCCAGCTATCCATGACACTTTTTTGATTATAAATCCTACTTTCAGCTTGTATCCTGGACAATTACTGATACTCTCGATGAGAGTATACTACTGATGACTTCATCAGCTGAGGAGCAAATATTCCTTTCCAAATACTTCCTTTTATTTTTGAAAGAAATCTTCTGAATATTCGAATAGACTAATAATAATGTTGCCTATTAAAGAAATATACCCACCTTTGGTGTTATATATTTTCAAAACAAAACAACCATTTGATTCATAAAAGTTCCTTTTCTGAATAGCTTTACCTCCTTTGACTGAGTTGAAATGCTTCAATATTTTGTCTATAGTGACATCAGGTGATAAATTAGTAAATATCAAACCATCAGCAGGAGGTAACATCATAATTTCAATACCATACTTTTCTCTCTTGCTCTTTTCAACAAGTCTCTGAAAATCTGTTAAAAAAAGAATAAAAGGTTACTATTATTACCAACTTAATCTTGGACAAACCTGTAATCTGCCATACAATATAAAAACTGTAAAAAAAACTGTTTTTGCAAAATTTATAAACAACTGACTACTTCTCTGGAAAAACAAAATTCAAAATTCACTTGATAAAATAGAAAAAAAATCTAAAATATTGTTGAACACTAGGATAAAGAATAATGTGCACACTTCTCCTTTAATATAGTAACATGATTTAGCTTCTGTGGTGTATTATACATATTAATGTGACTGCTAATGCTGAAAGGGTTAATAAATACAATGGTTTAGAAACCAAAGAAATAACTAGAGAATGAGGATTTGCTGTGCAAGACATTCAATCAAAAGATCAAATGACAAATTGTAAATGTGACACAAAAACTGCTTTAAATAACTGAGAGAAACAGAAAGAAAACTTACCGACACTATGTGAGAAGCCTGTTTTGGCAACAGTTTTTTCATTTTGAAAATATTCTACTGTTAAAATCTCAACATCAACATCATCACAATAAACTTCTAGAAAGTCTATCACAGTATAATTATTCCAATTTTTAGGTATATTCTAAAAACATTACAAAAAAATCGTTTTTATTCTCTTTTGACCATTCAAATTTGTTTATTACAATTCTAAAGGATGCATCTAATTCAGATTTTTTCTAAAATTATGAGAATGTGCACAGCCAGTCAACCATTGTAACGAGAATTTATTATTTTGTAGCACCCACAGCCCATTGTTAGGGTGGGGCCCACAGGGGCTCGGTACCCAAGCACCAATTCACTCAGAGCAATGAGGCTGTCCAAGCACCTGTCCAATATAAAAAACATGCTCACTGCACAAAAAAATATAGATCTATTCCAGTTAAGAGCTCATTCAAATTCTTGTCATCAAACTTGGTGGGATAGACACTTAATACAAGTTATGTATTAGGGGGTGAATAGGCACAGGCATCAGAATTTTTCTTATCTTGAGGAGAATTCGAACCCACCTGATCACCAAGCAGACAACAATCCAACTCGATACTGACCTAGCTTAGTCTTAGAATGTCTTTGCATTGATAAAAATATAAACATAAGCACAAATTATGTCTTCAAAATGTGTTTTTACAGGGGCTAATTTTCAGCCAAAATTTTTGACATTTTTAGGTGGAAATTTCTAAGAGAAAATGTGTTTCTTTTCATTGTAAACTCACAAAAAATTATATTTTTATTAACACAACGACATAAGAAGACTAACAATATCATTTTGAGACTGATATTCCAATTTTCATAAAATTGGATAAAATTCAAAAAAGGTTTTTACTTTGGTCACTCCCAGTAGCCTAGGCCTAATTCTATTAGTAGGCGAATTATTGAGTCCTATACTATTACTAGACTTGAACAATACACTACCTGTAGAACAACTAGCATACTGCCATCCTTAGCCATCTTTTCTTTCTAGGTATTTATCATCGAACAAGGTGAAAAATAAAACTGAAAGTGGAATAAACAGCTCGATAGAAAATTCAAACAAGGAAAACGAAAGTAAAAATAGGCTAGCCTAGTATTAGTAATGGATTTAAAGTTCAATCAAGTTTTCATCCGAGTGCCAGACACAGGTGGATTTAGATCAAAATTCAAACACTGACTTACTAAAATAATTTAATAAATATTTAATAATTTCTTACGAGCACAAAAAGAATCATCTCACTTCTGGGTTTATTACATAATTATCATTCTTTTCTAGTGAAACTTTCCGACTTCATGATAAAACAAAATATCACGTGACCTTTTTCTTAATATAGAAATGGGAATTTCTCATAGAGTTATAAATAGAACAATACTTCTGAGTTACATCCATTGATTTCTAATGTGAATTACCTTTCACTAAGTTTCATTTAGACTGAATAAAAACTTATATATAACATATGGGTGGTGATAATTGCTGTAATTGGCTGTACAGCAAGTCGTGCAAGAAACAGAGGTTTGAGTTTTTTTTTCACCTACCAAATGCCAAAAAACACCCTGAATGGCGGTCAAGAATTCTCCAAATTGTCAGATCAATCAGGGAAGATTCATTAAATTATACAGTATACAGTTCTATGGTTACATGTAAAGAAAAGAACTATGGTTACAATTAATTTTAAAAGACACATCCCGATGTCAGTTTAAAGGTGTCATCCAGCAGGATTCAAACTTTTAGCTCTATCGAAACATCGTGCAGGATCTAATAAAGCAATTTTTTTTAAATGCATTTACTAAACAAGTGGTTGCCTCGCAAGATACGCCCTGCACTTTTCAGTACATAAAGGGCGGTCAAAAATCTGTGTCAAATCGTACCAAAAATCTAATTTGTACAAGATATTGCTGATTTTATCTAACACACAAAAGTTGATAAAAGTCGGAAATATTAAAACTGCCAACAATTTTGATATATCTTGACTAAATCAAGGAAAAACAAAATTCAAAATTTACTTGATAAAATAGGAAAAAAAACCCTAAAATATTGTTGAACACTAGGATAAAGAATTATGTCCTGTTTTAATGAAACTGGCACACTTCTCCTTTACTAAGTCAAAGGCAATAACTCAAATTCCATTAATTGAAAAATCGTCAAATTCAAACTTGACCAAGATATCATTGTATTAGATGATCACACCAGATTTCATTGAAATCAGATAAGATAGCTTGCGTTGCAAGGTAACATACGCCCACTGGCAGCTGTCGTTAGAACTTGTCCGAGATCTTATCAATTCCAATGATCACACCAAGTTTCATCAGAATCGGTTGAAAACTGTAGCTTCTATTGTGCTCACAAACAAATTTTGACGCGTTTTTCGTAAGTTAATTGCATTAACTCAAAAACATTTCATTGAAAATGCGTCAAGTTAGAACTTGTCCGAGATCTAATCAATTTCAATGATCACACCAAGTTTCATCAGAATCGGTTGAAAACTGTAGCTTCTATTGTGCTCACGAACAAATTTTGACGCGTTTTTACAAAGTCAAGGGCAATAACTCGAAAACCGTTCATCAAAAACGCATCAAGTTAGAACTTGTCCGAGATCTTATCAATTCCAATGATCACAACAAGTTTCATCAGAATCGGTTGAAAACTGTAGCGTCAATCCTGCTCACAAACTATTTTTAACAAATTTCGACGCATTTTAACAAAGTCAAGGGCAATAACTCAAAAACCGTTCATCGAAAATGCGTCAAGTTCGAACTTGTCCGAGATCTTATCAATTCCAATGATCACACCAAGTTTCATCAGAATCAGTTCAAAACTGTAGCTTCAATCCTGCTCACGAACTATTTTTAACAAATATTGACGCGTTTTTACAAAGTCAAGGGCAATAACTCAAAAACCGTTCATCGAAAATGCGTCATGTTAGAACTTGTCCGAGATCTTATCAATTCCAATGATCACACCAAGTTTCATCAGAATCGGTTGAAAACGGTAGCTTCAATCCTGCTCACGAACTATTTTTAACAAATTTCGACGCGTTTTAACAAAGTCAAGGGCAATAACTCAAAAACCGTTCATCGAAAATGTGTCAAGTTAGAACTTGTCCGAGATCTTATCAATTCCAATGATCACACCAAGTTTCATCAGAATCGGTTGAAAACTGTAGCTTCAATCCTGCTCACGAACTATTTTTAACAAATTTCGACGCGTTTTAACAAAGTCAAGGGCAATAACTCAAAAACCGTTCATCGAAAATGTGTCAAGTTAGAACTTGTCCGAGATCTTATCAATTCCAATGATCACACCAAGTTTCATCAGAATCGGTTGAAAACTGTAGCTTCAATCCTGCTCACGTACTATTTTTAACAAATTTCAACGCCTTTTAACAAAGTCAAGGGCAATAACTTAAAAACCGTTCATCGAAAATGCGTCAAGTTAGAACTTGTCCGAGATCTTATGAATTCTAAAGATCACACCAAGTTTCATCAGAATCGGATGAAAACTGTAGCTTCAATCCTGCTCACGAACTATTTTTAACAAATTTCAAGGCGTTTTAAGTCAAGGGCAATATCTCAAAAACCATTCATCGAAAATATGTCAAATTCGAACTTGACCGAGATCTTATCAATTCCAATGATCACACCAAGTTTCATCAGAATCGGTTGAAAACTGTATCGTCAATCCTGCTCACGAACTATTTTTCAAAATCAGATAAAAACTGTAGTCTCTATAGTGCTCACAAGAAATGTTGACGGACCGACCGACGGATCGACGGACAGGGGCGACGACAATATACGACCACATATTCATGTGGGCGTATAAAAAAACTGTAGCCTCTATTGTGTTCACAAGCCAATTGTGGACGGACGGGCGGACTGAGGGACGGACGAACAGGGGCGACGACAATAAACGACCATGCAGATTATAATGTGGGCGTATAAACAATAAATGAAGGTAATATACACCCACTGGCAGCTTTGGTCTTTAATGAAAATGTTAGGCAGTACAGCAACAATCACTAGTATACAATATTCACCCTTTAGTCGTGTCACTTTCTTTCGAACTATTTGGGTGATATTGAACAAGTTTTGTCAAAATCTGTCAAGAATTATAGGCCTAGTAGTCTATATAGCCTACCTTCTTTGAATGCATTTAACTCATGTAAAATATTTTTCAATCTTGGATGAAATTAAACAATTTCACCAAAACACAATATGTCAAAAATAACAAGGACGGAAAATTATTTGAGATTATGATCTTATTTCTTGCTGAGATCAGAACATCATATACCTAATGCAATGTACGATTATATGTCGGCGAGACTTACAACGCGTATGACGAATGAGATATTTTGACGTCTATTGCATGATAATGTATTAAATGACAATCTGATATTAGCCTCCCTGTGTAATTTGACCAGTTTTCTAGCAATCAGCTCATCAAAACCGTCCCTACAGTCCGTTCTCTTTTAAGGCTTTAAGGTGGTGTTGAAATAGTGTTATAAAAACACTTTGACCACTGTTCGACCAGTATATTCAAGTCAAAGTGAGGAAGAATTCTTTGGACAACCTGCCTTGCAATTTCTACAGTATATTGAGACTAGTCCGAAACATCTTCCTCTATTCCAGCCTGACGGATATTTTGACAGTTGTCAGCTGGAGTAAACTCCATACCAATTAAAATTAATGATGGGAATATGGGATTGTGAGAATAAGGGCTATAGATGATCATTATCATCGTGCCGTTGCTAAACCAAGTTTCATCAATATTTCAAAGGAACAGACCCACTTATACCTCTTAGGATGACCAAAATGTGTCTTTATTTTTATTCATCAATGGACTTACGTACTGATGTAATAGCTATACAAAAGAATTTGAGTCGATAAAACTAAGTAATAATTCATTAAACCATATATGTCATGTAGACAGGTTTGAGACTTTAAATTTCATGTCTATTCTCATAGGTATAAATCCTTAAAGAATAGTGCCATCTAGTTAGTTTACAAGCTTAAAATTGAACGCATTTTCAGGAACAAGGACAATAACTCATATTAAATTTTTTTTCCATTTAATTGATTTTCAATGGGGTTCATCCATGGGTGGTAATAAACACCAAGTTCCGCCAAGAATTAAGTATTCTAGAATGATAGACATCTTTAACAAGTTCAATAGTTTCTGTCACAATTACAAGACGGCGGACAGACAGGATCGATGGCATTCATGTCAGGCCCATTTGCCCTCCTCCTAAATACGACACTGCATACGCATTTGGTAGTTTTTAGGCTACATTAAACAAGGCACAAAATATTATTATCCTCTGTGCTGCCCACTTCAGCATTTCTGAGTAAAAAACAATGCAAACATATTTTCCACTCCATCACTTTTCGTTCACGCATCAACTGATTCAGGGTGATTGAACTATTGCTAACATTTTAATATGGATGAGGTAAAATTGCTGTCAGATAACAGCTTGATAATGCTATTTTTGTGATGAATGTGTGTATGAAAGATAGCTTGCCAGGCAAGGTAATATAGGCCCACTGGCAGCTTTGATGTTATTGAATATTGAATGCGTTTTCAAGAACGACGTCAATAATATAATAGCCTTTGATATCCAATAGAGTTCATCCTTTGGGGATAATAAACAATTTTAATAACTTTCATCTAAGTCCGTTGAAAATTGTGCCTTCTGAAGAGTTTACAAGCTAAAAATTGAAGTGTTTCCGAATACAAGGGCTCATCCTTACACCAAGTTAAGTGAAAATCCGTCAAGAGTGTTTAATGATTCCAAGCAATTGTGGACGGACGGACATTTCATGCGGGCGTATAAAAAGGGATGTCAATTATATACGTAGTTCAAAGTCTTCGTTTACGGTAATAATATATTTACATTAAAACACAGTCAACAGAGGTAAAAGTTTTGTGACAACTATCAATAAGATAGTGGACCACAGCCATATACGCCCACCACGGCATGCGGATGGCAAAAACAAAACATCCATTTTAAGTTTCATCAAAATTGGTTGAAAACTAAGAGAGTAATAGCATATTCAAGATTTTGGGGCAAGGGCAATAACTCTGCTTCTAACGGTCGAAAATAGCTCAAATTCGAACTTGATCTTTGTTTTATGAATATGTATAAACATACCAAATTTCATTTCATTCCATCATAAAATCTAGTTTTTAGAGCGTTTACAAGCAAATGTTGACGGACATACGGACCGACGGACAGGGGTGCCGACAACATACGTCCACATAGAGAGATGTGGGCGTATAATAAAAAATAATCAATATAATTAGTTATCTTTTCAAATCCATACATCTCAGTGATAAATACACAAGTGATATTAGCTAAAGTATCTTTGACCATTCTAGTTTCATAAGAATCACAAGGCCATGGCACTGTACTAGTGTACGACCAGGATTATTTCATATTTGAGCAGAAAGACATAATCTATAAAACAAAACAAAAATGAAAATATACATTATGGAAAGGAACAAAATAATGATACATCAAATTGTTGCAAGCTATTTTTGGATTATATACATGCAATTTATAACAACTTTATATTTAACAATTAAAGTTGAAAAACATTTTGAGCCAAGGGTATGCCCATTCTTAAAATTACCTAAATTTTGCAAACTTTCGCTTACAAATTTTTATATACTTTTGATTATTTAAAGATAGTAGGGCGAACAGTGTTAATAATGATCTAAAAAATCTCCAATAATTCATTGATCAGCAAATTCATATCCACTTAGCTTCTCAAAAAAGCTGAGAAACTCAAAAAGCTAGCAAGTTACCTCAGCCTTACATCTACTGTTGATGCCTTACGTCTACTGCATTGCTCTAAGTACATGGTTAAATATAAACGACTAGTTACATATAAGATAGCTTGCCAGGCAAGGTAATATACGCCCACTGGCAGTTTTGATTTTGAATAAAAATATTTAGCAGTACAGTAACAATCACCAGTATGAAATATTCAACCTTCAGTCATACACTTCTTTTGAACTCTTTAGGGCAATACTGAATAATATTGAGTATGAATTATTGCCCTTGTTCTTGAGAACGTGTTCAATTTTTAGCTCGTGAACACTCTAGAAGGCAAATATTCAATCTTCAGATTGGGAATGAATACTAAAACCAAGTATTGTCAAAATCCAGCAACAATCATGCCTTTTAGTTTTTTAGAGCTAAATTTGAAAGCGTTTTCAAGAACAAGGGCAATAACTAAATATTTTTAGATTCTTCTGATTTTCAATAGGGTTTATCCTTGGGTGATATCAAACACTCACACCAAGTTTCGTCAAAATCTGTCAAGAATTGTCCTTTCTAGAGTGTTTACAAGTTAAAAATTGAACGTGTTTTAAAGAACAACGGGGCAATAACTCATACTAAATATTTTTCGATTCTTCTGATTTTCAATAGGGTCCATCCTTAGGTGATTATGAACACTCACACCTAGTTTCGTCAAAATCTGTCAAGAATTGTGCCTTTTAGAGTGTTTACGAGCTCAAAATTGAACGCGTTTTCAAGAACAAGGGCAATAACCCATACTAAATATTTTTATATTTTTCTGATTGTCATCTGAGTTTATCCTTGGTTGATAACAAACACTCATGCCAAGTTTCGTCAAAATCCATCAAGAATTGTGCCTTCTTGAGTGTTAACGAGCTGAAAATTGAACGCGTTTTCAAGAACAAGGGCAATAACTCATACTAAACATTTTTCGATTCTTCAGATTTTCAATAGGGTTCATCCTTGGGTGATTAAGTACATTCATACCAAGTTTTGTCAAAATCCGTCAAGAATTGTCCCTTCTGGAGTGTTTATCAGCTAAAAATTGAACGCGTTTTCAAGAACAAGGGCAATAACTTATACTAAATATTTTTCGATTCTTCAGATTTTCAATAGGGTTCATCCTTGGGTGATTAAGTACATTCATACCAAGTTTTGTCAAAATCCGTCAAGAATTGTCCCTTCTGGAGTGTTTATCAGCTAAAAATTGAACGCGTTTTCAAGAACAAGGGCAATAACTTATACTAAATATTTTTCGATTCTTCTGATTTTCAATAGGGTTCATCCTTGGGTGATTACGTACATTCATACAAAGTTTTGTCAAAATCCGTCAAGAATTGTCTTGTATAGTGTTTACGAGCAATTGTGGACCGACCGATGGACGGACATGGGTGATGGCAATATACGCCCCCCATTTCATGTGGGCGTATAAAAATTATGTCCATGTATATACAAATTATGATACAGCCAAACATATCACAGTTCTCACACAAAGGCAATTTTAAATTATAAGGTGTTTTCCACATATTTCATTTTTTAAAAGACTGGTATTTGATCTCTTCTCTTTAATACTAAATCATCATCTAATGTTAGAATAATCTGAAGAAAAAAAATCAAACCAAATAAGATGGATTACAGAAACATTTTTAGCCATGAATATTTTTATATAATATTTATAACACATTTGCTTAATTCTGTGGTTAGCGTTTTAGATATGTGCCACAAGTGAAACTTATACAGGGTTGTAACATGACTTCAAGCTTTCAATAAGAATGCTCCTAGAGATGGAAAATTCTATATTCCATAAAGTGACCCCAAAATTTTATATTACTTTAAATTATAATTAGATATAATTACCAGAAATCCAAAAAACATTCCAATAGCTGAGAGAAAATGCCAGATGTCATGGGCATCATAGAATTCTAATAGTATACAAGGTCTATTTCCTTCCCTTGATTTAGCTGGTGTTACCTGGAATATGCCAATAATTTATATTCAAAATTCACAAATTGATGTTTCATCCAGTTAAGTTAAGTTCAATCACATAAAGTATTAAAATGTTTTTATTTCAAGTCAAACCAAACCTGTAGCTGTGGAAAAATATTCAATTAATTGTCATTTCCAATTCTTTAAAAGTATGAGGCGGTAGCTTATATTTCAGGTTGTTAAAAGGCTTCAGAATAAGATAATGTGATGGACTAGTAAAAAGAAAACCACAAGAACTTACCGACCAAGAAGTAAGATGAGCAAAGAAGAAATATAAAGCAGCTGCCCATGTTATCATTGTTATCACTATACATGAAATAGCCAATATATGGATTTTTTCACCACTAAATAACTGAAATAGTGAAAAATAATATTTAGAAATATTTTAATAGTAGTAATAAGTATTGTTTATAATTGCTCTTTCAACAGATTACAATGTATTTACCTCATTCATTTTTTTGTAAAGCAATTTCAGGACTATCATCTGTATATTTTGTACCACTTTTAGAATGGAAATTAGACATCAGGTTTGTCTTTAAAACATCAATTATATCCATATTTCTTTCATTATAGATAAACCGAACGTCTTAATTGAAGCACGTAAAATTGTGAAAGTTGAAATCCTATAACTTACCTTCATTATAATATAAAATAAAACATATAACATCAAATTACCAATAAATATAGCTAATAAATAGGTTGCAAAATCAATGGGAGTATTTAACACACCATATATAGCACTAAAACAAAATGTATTTTAAACTATAATAAATTAGATGGTACATTGTATTAATAAACTGAAAAGATATTTTTATTGCCGTTTAAGCTATTCTGACTATAGAACACTGCCTCTACCATTTCATTTGAGGTTTGGTCATCATTTTCAGAAGTTGTTCTCCTAACTTTTCTCTCCTTCTTCAATGCATGTGTTTTTTTAATATGTACTGGATATATCAGAATATATGGATAACATATTAACATATACTTACAATGACCAATTAATAACATTACCAATGAGCAATAACACAAACCTATTCTGAAATTAAATAGATTTTGTACACGCATCAAAGACACTTAAAGCCTGTATATTGCACTATCCCATTTCATGTATCTGCATCCTTTAATCCTAGCACCATATGACCAAGCTATGGCACATACAAGTACAAATACTGGAAACTATCTTAGGATATGATTTGATATAATGTTTGTTTGATTAGGAATCTATTGATAAATGTATGAAAGTATAACAGTGTTTTCAGAGTACTTACTGGATATATAGGCTTGGCACATCTTAAACAATCATTTCTAAATAACCAGAAAAGTCTTTTAAATATACCGCAATCTGATGAAAAAGAATAAAACTTCAAAGCCTTTTCTATTTTTATTCAAATTCAGAGTTTTTGTATGTTAAATTGTGATTGAAGTTGTGTAGCATTCTTTTTTCCTTTTTATTCTTTTTATTCATAAATTCATATAAAGCAGTATATGTAGAAAGAATTGTATTGTGATATTTCATATTGTTTGAACAGATTATTAAGAAATAACTGCCAAATTGGATGCTGCAAGACAAATGTGACGCTTGATTGGTGAGCTCTGAACAGGTTCCATTTGTTCCAATTCTAACTTCAATATATCGGTACAGAACCAGATATGTCACATTTAAAATTTTTCCTTCTATTCCTTTCTTCCTGATATTGAATTCTGTCTGCACTTACAGTTCTTTCGGCACACATGGAATGCATTTTGAACTCTGTTGTTCCAACTAGTTTTATTGAATGTTCGGTTGATTCCAAACCTGCAGAGCTCACCAATCGAGGGGCCTTAAAGACACAGTTAAGATATTGATGAAGTTAAAAAGCATCTAGAGTGAGCATGAGAAAGAACTAGTTGTATAAAGTTACTAAATGCAAATAGATTATTACATTTATAACTTACCCATTTTCCACATTCCCATAAAATATATCTGAGCTGAGATAATTAATGATACTAACATATGAACTAAACCATACAGAATCCAAAATATATTTGTTCCGTAATACTAAAATTAATTCAATTTTACAAAATTTATTTCTTTCAAATTTCACTATGGAGTCATGCACTCAAACTTTAAATAACTTTAAATAAAATACAGAAGAGGAATTCATTTGAAGACGTGCCACTATTTTTCATTATTTGGCCCTCTATTGATTTTCAAATTGTTTACCATTTTTGTACTAGAGTAATGATAAGCAATTCCAGAAGAATGGCTTCTTCTAGAGCAATATATGCTTCTAACTACATGGGATGTATTAAAAAATACTCACCACACCAATGACAGCTATGAATATAATAAATGCCATTGATAAATAGGTTGTATGAGCTTTAGCATTAATATCAGGATGTCTTGTTTGATAGATTTTTAACATATTTAAACAAGCTATAATATACATAAATGATGTATCTGAAATAGAGGGGAACATAACGAATTACAAAAAAATACAAAGGTTTGGAATGATCAAACAAGAAAATATTGTGGTGGTGAACATTTTATGTCTTACTTTTCTGCTTTGATGAATTGATGAGACATACAACACCATGCAGTGGTATAAGATTACTCTTTCTTGATCTCAAATCGTCAAGGTGCCTTAAACATACACAACCAATAGCACACAGGGCTTGACAAATTTTTCACATCAGTCCCTGCATCACTGATGAGAAAAGTGGAAAACCATGCTGGAATCCAACCCCAAGACCAAGTTCAAAGGGCAAGTATCTTCCTTGCTGAGCCATAAAGGCTTCCAGGTGTGGGAACATAGTGAGAAATTTCCCCCTTATTTCTTTTGATTCTATTGAAGCTAACTCCTGTCAATAATAACTATCAGACAGCAGATTAATGAAGTTTTAAGTGACCATCAATAGTTTATACATACCAAACTGAAAATTAGAATTATTGGGACAAACATGATAACAAGCACTCATTACACCTTCTAATATTAACGATAAACCCATAGCATAATATAGACCAAAATGTTGAGGTATTCCATATAACTTAGCAACTTCTTTATTATTTCGTACAAATGATCTGTGAATAGCAGCTCTAAAATTAGAAGTGGAAGTACATCAGAAGATAGATTAGAATTGAAATTTCAAAGAATACAGGTTTTTCTACCTGTTTTCACCTTGTAATCAAAATACAGCCGCTTTTGTCCATTTTCTGTGACAGGACTCCTTTTAATCCTATTTAGCTTCGTTGGCATAATTAATTCCGATTTAATACCTATGGAATATAATTTATGATTCAAATTTGATACAAAAAATTTTGTTTACCTTCTTCTGGCTATGATTATAAATAATATACCCAGTAAAACATATCCTATATTACTAAAGACATTATTAAAGGAACTTAAGACACCAAGTGGATGGGCACAATAGAAATTATAGTAACAAATATCTTCATCACCAGTCTGATGTAATACCTATAATATAAACACTGTCAGTTACTACTGTTTATACTCATACTGGGCATTAACAAAGTCAGTTTACTATCTACACTAGTAGAATAAACACAAGTTTACTCCAAGCAAGATCCGACTAAATTCATATCTAGAACTCCACATTTGATTCAAGAAGGTTCTAATAGTCAGATAGATGACAGTTAACCTTTGATACAGCATGCTCATATTCTCCTTACTAATTCTTATACAGTGGTGTAACCTATTTTCGTGGATATAAGGATTCAATACTGAATTTCGTCAAAGTTAAAAAAACTAATTTTTTTCTATGTCTTAGATGTTTCCTCAGATATTCTACAAAATAATTATAATTGGTTTATTTCGATTTTTTTATGAATCCTTCACTTTGACCCATATTTCATGAGCAACCAACTCGGCTGACAAAATAAGATACGTAGTGTGAATTATTGCTAAAAGTCACTGAAACAACATGAGAATATGGTCCACTTTGTGTTCCATAGAAATTTTCTGCTGACACGGAATCCACTAGTTGATCACATGACTTCATTCGTTGGACTACATTCTAGCAGACGACACTTGGAATTCCGATTACCGCTTGGGATTATATGGAAATTTGGCCGATAAAAATTGGTGACGTTTGGTAATAACAGAAATCCGCCATTTTGTATTTGTCAAAGTATACATTAATACATTTTACCTTGCTTGAAACTACTGAATTCATTCTACTAGCTGATATTGTAGAGATAACTGTATATATTGAAATCAAATAATGCTCAAAAGTGAATCTGTACAGGAAGCCCATAACTGCATACATGGGAACACAATTGCTACTAGGTAGAAGAAAAATGTAAATTTTTTAGAGGTTATTAAACTATGACAACAAAATCACAATCATTCTTACCTTTTGATAGTTAAACACTAACTGAATAACTGGTAAACCATAAAATATACCAATAGTTAATAGATTCCTATAAATATAAGATTAGTATCAGACCTTTACTTTTAACATTATTAAAATCGTGTTATTTTTATAAATATTCAAACATTGAAATCAAGAAGTTACTTACCAATGATAAATTTTGTAGTTTTTAGAAACCTTTTTATGGTTCTTTCGAGCTAAGTCACTAACAAAGAGAGCAGTCTAAAATTAAAGAAAAAATGTTTATAGGTGACACTTTTACAGATAGGAATGGATGAAACTTTATCATTATTATGGATTCCTTAGATGTCAGCTTAAAATGTTGTTCCTGAATAAAATAACTAATTGAATTGTGCAAAGGATGACACTTACTTGAGGAAAGTGCAATATTAGAGCAAGATACTGAACATAAATTATCACAGGTATCAACAATATTTGAACAAATGCTTATCTAACCCTGCAAATTCTGATTTTTATGTTAAGAAGTGACATAGGTAACACTTTCATAGCCAAAACATAAACCCTACCTTAGTTCTAACTATTCTCTTATCTTCATCAGCATCACTTAACATATCAACTTCAGTTGTATCAATATCAGATAGTTCTTCATCATCATTATTATCTATGTTAATATAAAAATAGAATCAGTTGTATCAATATCAGATAGTTCTTCACCATTATTATTATCTATACTCCCACTACCAGCTGTCAGAAATGATAACAAAGTCTTTAGTGGCTTAATAATGAATTTTCACATAATCTTAAAAATATTTACAAGTCAAGGCAAAACCTCAAAAATTCAAACATGAACAAGGTCTCATCAATGTACACACAACAGCAATAACTCTGAAACCATTCAAAATCTCATCTATACACGTATACCAAGTTTCATCAACATCATATGAAAACTGTAGTCTCTTACATGCCTAGGGCTATGTCAAGCGCTATAACTCTGAAACCATTCATGTTACCAATTTATAACTTGATTTAGATCTCATCACTATATACATGCATACCAAGTTTCATCAGGATCAGATAAAAACTGCAGCCTCTAGTTTGTCTACAAGAAGAGTGGGCTGACAAAAAGCAGTGACAGCAATATCCATGTGCAAATTTCAAATAAAAATGAGAGTTGAACAAAACCAATCATGAAAATGATTAATAGTGATCTCAGTTGTAAAAAAACAATGATGCTTTGACAGGATGAAGATATGATTCTTTAAATAATAAAACTTCTGTCAAAATAAACCATTTATTCCTCCAACGTTTCGTGTGTCTAAAAACACACTTCCTAAGAGAGTCCCACATGGGCATATAAAAATAAAAATCAGTTGTGTATCATAATCATTGTGTTTATATGGTAAAATAGCCTATAAAAATCAGATGTATTTTTTAGATTCAACCAATTACACAACAATCTGTTAAGAAGATATCATCCTATCTTACCTGATACTCTAGTCATTGTACCATAACCATTATCTTTAGATGTTGATGATCTTTGTAACAAACCCTCTACAATCAAATAACAAGAAAATTATTCTTTACTATTTCTACTTTCTGCTATTAAATCCGTACAAGAACATAACTTTTTATCTATTATTAATAAAATAGAATTAGAAAGTTAATTAGAAGTTTGAAAACTGAGGAATCAAACCACAATTAGGTCAAAAACATAAAACATATTATGGGGCATGTAATGGTTCAGATAAAAAATAGACATTTGTAGTTGCTGACCGTAAGCTTATATTGACATTAAATTTATTATTAATAAGTAATTCAAGTAATACATGAGTGCCCATTCAGGTCTGAATCAAAATCAAGAAACAAGAAATTTGTTAATTTTGGGATGGAAAAAAAATTATTGTCTTATATTTTGTTTTCATAACTACTCAAACTACTTAAACTACAGTGAACTGCTTGTTAATGCAATTGAATCAGGCTTGAATGTGTAACAATATCTTTGCTGGAATATATGTTTTACAATCTCAGTTGTACACTATGTCTTATATATAGACATGCAATAATTAATAACCATGCATGATAAAATCACCAACAGCAAGGTTAATTGTTAAAGGGACAGATGCGCCATTTTGGGGGTTGATTTTAGTCTTGAATATATGTAAATAGACTTCAGTAATACTATAAAATCGCATAATTCCCTTAAAAATATCTTAAACTAGGAATTTTAGTCACTATTCTATATAAGTCTTTTCTATATATCACAGAGTATGTTAAAATGACATACATGGATTTAAAGGCTCAAATTTCGACTGTGAGCTGTGAACAGTATTACAGATGCTTTAATAAAAAATTCCCGTTTCTGAGACTAAAGTTTGATTGGTCAAAACAAATGGCGAAACTGTCCATTTAGAAGAAGCATTCATTAAAAGCGTTTATCTATCTAAACTAATACTAGTAAATAAAGAATATATAATGAAGAGAAAAAAATAAATGATCCGTACAATACACCAACAAGGATTAAGGTGAAATCATAATACTATATCTAAATAGTTTGGACTCTCTAATGATTCATGACTATGTGACCAATCCCAAAATTGATTATCCAAGTAATTCTTATCAAAAAATTCGTCAAGAATAGAGGAATGATAAATAAACAAAACTAAAAAAATGCAAATCATACAAAACATTAAAGAACAGATGAGAACATGCATAAATATTATATAAATACTACTACTACTAGTATGTATGTTGTATATTTTACCATGAGACTGTGGTGAGCCTTCATCAGCTGTGTCTATATCTTCATAATCACAGAATCCTAGTAATTTATCTAGATTTAAAGGTTAAACAAAATATGATTTTTATTTAACTCTTGTAAATGAAATTTTGATTAATATTCCTTAAAATTCAATAAAAAATTCAATTTTGGTGAAAATAATGTTATATACAAAGAAAAAATACATAAATACCTTTTACATGATCGGGCATATTAACATACTTTTCATTATAACCACTGGAAGAAAAAGAAATATTTTTAGCTGATGCCCATTATAAACATTCAACAAAATTAAGAAAGTTTTCTTCTAAACTGAGTGCATAAGAGTAATTTTAAAATTTAAGTGAGAAGCAAAAGGGGCACACAATATATTTGAATTCTTCCAACTTAAGATAAAAGAAGTGAACATTTTCTTATGGCAACAAGAACATTATATTTTATCTTAAAAGTCCAGTTTTCTTTGATTTTCAAACATTTCTAATAAACATCACCTTTTAAAATATACATTAATATTTGGGGATAGATAAATGATTATCCTTACCCACAATGAAATACTGTACAGATAATTAGTGAAATAATATAAAAACTTAAAAATACTCCTATTGCAGCAAATATACCTTTATAATACAACCATTCTACAATAGAATTAAATTAGACAATGAACGGAAGGAAATATTGTATTCAAAAATTCAAAAAAAATTCAATTAAAACTAGACATTATTTGGCACAATGGAAGTATCTTAAAATCTGTGATTCTTAGAACTTGGAATGTATGGGATACCATCTATAAAAGTATAGGCAGTAAAAAATGGGGAATTATGAAACAAAGCTTTAAATTGAATGATACACCTTTACACATTTTCTTATAGTCACCATGTCTACTTTTATTAATACCAAAGATTTGCCTATTTTCCGCATTTTCAATGCAAAAATACACTCAATGGTATATGGTCTTAATGCTGTATCAAATATTCAATAATTAAGATGTTATTTTTAAATATGAACCTTCAATGAATGTATCTAAACATCAATGTTCAGTGAATAAAAAGTAACAGCAAAAAGAGAGTTGTTGATAATAAAGTTCTTCATCTTACTTGAAATTGTACCCTCTATCATAATAGAAACTGTTTTACTACGGTAGGCGGATTTTATATCTTGTATTTGATTACATTCTAAATCATTGGATTTGACCACCATAACTAAATAGAATGATCCTTCATCATAATCTTCTTTCTAGAAAAATTATTCATCATATTTTACATTGTTTTTGCTTCAAGTATACATTATATCAGAATCAACTAACTAATTCTATTTTTCGAAATTTTTTCAGGACAGCTGGGCACCTCTTCCCCTATTTGTACTCCCATTCAAAGAGGCTGGAGCTGTGACTATTTTTGGAACAACCCTGAGTACCACCCCAGCCCCTCTGACAATTTTCCAAAAATAATTTTGTACTAACCAATTAACTTCATAATCTAACTGTAAAACCATTGTAATAGAATGTGACAATTTGATTAACAGTTGAGTATAGAGTCATGATAAACAAACAAAATATTTTCACAGTTTTAAACAGAACAGCTTATAATAAGTTGTTAAATAAAACTGTACTTACATTTAATATGATAGCTGCCTGTTTAGTCATAGTTTGATATTTGCCTTGGAATTCTATACTATTATCTAAATCAAACACAGGACACTGAAATTCGGTAAGTTTATGATAAAATTCATGTACATTTCTGTTTTTAGGTGTTGTGCTTTATTTCAATGGTAGTAAGAGATAGTTTGCCAAGCAAGTTAATATACACCCACTGGCAGATTTGATTGTCTGAATCTGGCTTAAAAAATTGAAAGCATTTCAAGATCAAGGTCAATAACTCATAAAAAATATTTATTGGTTTTTCAAATCCATCAAGAATTGTGCCTTTAAAGAGTTTATAAGCTAAAAATTGAACGTGTTTCCAAGAAGAAGGGCAATAACTCATACTAGACATTTTTCAATATTACAACCAATTGTGGACAGACAGACAATGATAATGCCAAAATACGCCTCCCATTTCACATGAAGGGGCATATATGAATACATAAAACAAAAAGGAAAGCAAAATGAGAAAATATCAAATAGAGATTCAAAAAGAAGAAGAATAACAAAGATAGCTTGCCAGGCAAGGTAACATACGCCCACTGGCAGAAATGATTAAACAGTCTTTAGTGACTACAGGGTTGCACAATATAGCTAATAGAGTGAAACGTCAAGTCAGACACGATATTTCGGTGAAATATTATCCGATCATCGCGAAAATCGATAGGGATCATCTTCATAATGACATTGACATACAAAATAAAAATCAAAAGAATCTGTAAAGAATTGTAGCCTGTAGAGTGAGCATGAGCTGCACAATATAGCTAATAGAGTAAAACGTCAGGTCAGACACGATATTTCGGTGAAAATTATCCGATCATCATGAAAATCGATAGATCATCATGAAAATCAATAGGGATCATCTTCATAACGACATAGACATACAAAAAAAAATCGAAAGAATCTGTAAAGAATTGTAGCCTGTAGAGTGAGCACGAGTTGCACAATATAGCTAATAGAGTAAAACGTCAAGTCAGACACGATATTTCGGTGAAAAATTATCCGATCATCACGAAAATCAATAGGGATCATCTTCATAATGACATTGACACACAAAATAAAAATCAAAAGAATCTGTAAAAAATTGTAGCCTGTAGAGTGAGCAGGAGTTGCACAATATAGCTAATAGAGAAAAACGTCAAGTCAGACACGATATTTCGGTGAAAAATTATCCGATCATCACGAAAATCAATAGGGATCATCTTCATAACAACATTGACATACAAAATAAAAATCAAAAGAATCCATAAGGAACTGTAGCCTGTAGAGTGAGCACGAGCCAAATGTGAATGAACGGACGGACGGACCGACAGGGTTATTACAATATACGCCCATCTTACGTGTGGGCGTATAAAAAAGAATAACAAATTTAACTACAATGATAATATGTAAGATAAATAGTAACGAAAACTATAAACTTGAGGTTCAAAAGCTATAACATAAACAAGTTAACAATATTTGAACTCAATAAGTAATACCTTTTGATACAGGAGCTGTGCAGACAAAAAATTGGATGCAAGATAATTTCTACAGCATTACAAGAAAATCCTTCCTTTGCTATTAGTTGTTTTAGTTGTTGTTTCTTACAATTTTATCAAATTTAGCTTGCCAGGCAAGGGAATATATACACCAACTGGCAGCTTTGATTTTAAATAAAAATATTTAGCAGTACAGTAACAATCACCAGTATGAAATATTCAATCTTCAGTCTTACACTTCTTTTGAACTTTTTGGGATGATACTGAATAATATTGCCTAGTTTTGTCAAAATTCAGCTAGAATAGTGTATTTTACTGATTATGAGGTAACAATTGAAAGCGTTTTCATCAACAAGGTCAATAACTCATTAGAATAATTTTTCATTTTCTGATTTTCAATAGGGTTCATCCTTAGGTGATTACAAACACTCACACCTAGTCTCGTCAAAATCTGTCAAGAATTGTGTCTTCCAGAGTGTTTACGAGCAATTATGGATGTGATGTGACGGCAATATACACCTCCCATTTCATGTGTGCGTATAAAAAGCAAAGAATTTTCATTGCAGAATGGTTAACAATTGTTCATTTCCTTGAAAATATTAGTACAATTCAATTCATGTACGACTTTTATTTGATTTTGACACAGCTAATACTTAAAAAATAATCCCAAATTCTCAACTCAACCAGTAAATTAATATTTTGTCTATTTTCTATTGGGTGGAAAAAAATCTTACTCTTTTTCATTTCTCCAAAAATCTTAAGCTAAAAATTTGTCCTGTGGTTTTATAATTTTTCAATGCTTTCCTTTGAATCATGTCTAATTATTGAGGTCATAAATGAACACAGAAATTTATAAAATGTCAGAAATATATGGAGAAGTGACAGAATCCGTATTCACAGAATAGAGTTACCTTGATATCTTGTATAGACACAACCATACATTCTGTATCTTCAGAATCCACTGTAACCAATACTGAGGCTATATCTTCAGGAAATGTATACATAAAATATACAGGTTCTGATGGTGATACACTCACATTCTTTTTGGCATTATGGCTAAAATATATCATATATCATAATCATAAGGAAATTGACATTATATTCAAGTAAACACTCATGGATTCTCAATTCTTAGAGTGAATTGTATTGACATTTTCCTAAATAAAAAAAAAAAATAGATTTATAGTATTCTTGTTTATCACTATTTTCTTCAATTTTGCTCACTCCACAATTTTCAACCTATATTGTTTTATATTTACATATAAATTTCTTATAATCATAAGCTTACTTGTTCTTTAATATGTATAGGGCCAAATGGTTGATGATTTTTTCTCCAGATACACTATATATTATGTAATTCAGGTAATCCAGTTATAAAAATAAAATTGATAAGCAATGTCTATGTCTATGACTTATACTCTATGATATCTAGTGACTCATTAAAAAATTTAACTACTAAAGAAACAAATGTAATTCTATTAGATATTACCTGAGAGAAAAATCTTGTAATAAATTTGATTCTATAGTAAAATTAGTAAATTCTTTTGACATAGATGACACATCAACATACAAAAGCTGATCTTTAGTTAGTGTTGCTCTTGCATTCTTATCCATTGGACATAAAGTTCTTGCCACATAGGAATAGCGATAGCTAGAAAATAAATAAAATATTTCATATGATTTTTGGCTATCTATAAAAATGAAATTCCATAAAATAAACTACTTGTTGCAATTTCCTTAATAAAAAGGATAAAAATCTTCAACAGGACAGATTTAGAGGTTCCAGTAACACCAATATTACCGGTTGATACATGTATAAATACATAATAAGATTGCAAAGATATATTCTGAGAAATAACCTACAAAACATACATATAATTTATAGACAATGGAATCTGCCATGATAATAATCCTCGCTGTTGTCTTACAACAAACATTAATGGAAATGTTGTATTAACTTTATTACTTGATGTATGTATTCGCACGGCTGTTGTCTGAAATAGTCAAGAAAAAATACCATAAAGTTTAAAATGTAGTTAAAAAACAAAAATCTCAATTTAAATTAAATGGTCTTTCCTTTCCCTTCTTTTCTAAAAAAAAATATTTTGTTTTGTTGATTGTTGCGGTCTAAGGTGCATATTAAGCTTATTGATAATATTGAATTGATACATTAAAATTTTAGAGAAGACAAGCAATGTCATGCAGTGTACAATGTGAACATTTTTACACCATACTTCTTATATTTTTATTTCAATTTCAAGAGCATAAACTCACACCTTTCATTTATTCATACAGTGGTGTAACCTATTTTCGTGGATATAAGGATTCAACACCGAATTTCGTCAAAATTAAAAAAACAAAAACAAAATTTTTATGTCTTAGAAGTTTCCTCAGATATTCTACAAAATAATTAAAATTGGTTCATTTCGATTTTCTTTATGAATCCTTCACTTTGACCCATATTTCATGAGCAACCAACTCGGCAACGGCAGCAGAATGCGTCACCTATTTTCATCTACAATGTTTGATCTATAAATAAGTCTAGAAAAACATGTTGTATGGATACCGGGTGGTATAATTAACTTCTCTTAGTATTTATCTTTAATATTAATTCATTATAACTAGTGACAATTCCTTCAAAGAACCACGATTTAAAAAAAAAAAGTGACTGACAAAATAAGATAAGATTTATTGCTAAAAGTCACTGAAATAACATAAGAATATGGTCCACTTTGTGTTCCATAGAAATTTTCTGCTGACATGGAATCCGCTAGTTGATCACGTGACTTCATTCGTTGGACTACATTCTAGCAGACGACACTTGGAATTCCGATTACCGCTTGGGATTATAAGGAAATTCGGCCGATAAAAAATGGTGACGTTTGGTAATAACTGAAATCCGCCATTTTGTATTTGTCAAAGTATACATTAATATATTTTACCTTGCTTGAAACCACTGGATTCATTCTACTAGCTGATATTGTAGAGAAAACCCATGTTTATCAAAACAAGCTAATGCGGAGGTCGCGCAAGGTCGCTTATGCAAATTATTTATCATTTCCAGAAATCCACGAATAATAGGTTTCCACGAAATTAGGTTACTTGACTGTACTTTTATTGTCCCATTACTTTTACAGTTAGTAATATTGACAAGGATAAGAAGTTGGTCTGCTTGGCCCATCATCATTATCAGCCATTATCAAATCAGGTACCATGTCAATACATTGATAAACTAATACGATAATAGGTTAGTGATATTATGATGATTGTGGCAATATGATAATGATCTTACCTTATTTGATGTTTCAGTATAATTGTACACAAATAGATACTGTTGAAATCTGTTCACTTGATAATTAGTATATAATTGAGAAAATTCTGCATTTATGACAGTGGTATTTAGATGACTTTTACCAATGAAGGCGTACTGACTCAAATCAAGAGAAACTGATAATTCCTCATTTTTAGCACTAGCAGACGAATTTTTGTATAAAGTTATCAGTATGAAGACCAAAATGTTCCACGAAACTGCAGTTTTCCAAATCAATACTTCCATTATGATGTGCGCATTCAAAAATGATAAATTTCAAAATTCAAATTGAAAATGTGCTGAATTAGCGCGTTAATAGTCGTCAAAATACATCTTCAATCTTCCATTTTTCTGAAATTAGGCGGATGTTCCATAATCACGTGCCACAAATCAACATCCGCCTTCGTACAAAACCTATCATTTTGTTATGACCTAGTAACTCTTCAAATGTGTCAATTTAAAAAGATTTTTTTTAACAAAGCATTAGTTATTCATTCATTTAAGACTTCCAAGCCGTCTGCGTTTTATAAAAAAAAAAATTTGATATTTAGGCGGTTTCTTTTTTTGTAGGCCAACATTCTGAAATTTAGTATAACCCATTATGGTGGAGTAGTTATTGTTTCACTTCATTTTTTATCCAATTTGATCTTTTTATTATTCAGACATAACATGCAAGTTGAACAATTAATTTGAAATTTTTTATTGTTGATTTTCGTTTTGGATGCTTAAGTGTTATGACAAGTTGCAATAAAGTAAAAAGATTTACTGCTCTAGAAGAAATAACTACTCCCTGACACATATCTGAGGATAAAGGTCAAGGACTACTCTATGTTTGGAAATTTGGTGACAAACTGTAGTTGATAACAAATCCTCGACGTCAGGTAGATTAACTTACTATTTTAAAAAAGAGATAAATGGGGTTAGAGCTATATTCATCATTCATTGACGTAGTGACTATGACACTGACTTTCTGACAACTTGGCTTTGCTGTTTGCACTACACCAGTGCAACAGTGTGAAGTGTCTGGCTCAGAATGAGTGCAATGAGGCCAATTTAAATTAATTAGGCATATGATATAAAGTTATGACAGCTGGAATTTGAAATAAAATTTCTTAAGTTATGGCAAACTACACATATCATTTGTTTTAAAACCTAAAATTTCCCTACCTTACCCTTAACAAGTCATTACGCAGCTTCCGTAACAATATTCACCTTAAATAATCTATTCAGATTCTCAAAAATATCTCAGTTAGATTATAATTAATTGCAAGAATATATATGTACCGTATATTTCTTTTTTTGTAGTACTTTTCCAATTGTCAACATTTAGACCAGGTCAAAGACCATTTTAACATGGACACTAAAGAGCCTGTTGAGAATCAAATCAATGAAATAACTAATGGCAATAGTCAGGTTTCCACTCAAGACAGTGTCACAGAAAATAACAGTAATGCCAACATATTGCTTCTAATGAATCAAAACAATCCACAACAAGAGACAACAGACAGTATTCAGACTAATCAAACATATATTAGTGAACCTATGGCTGTAACAATAACAGATGCACATATTTTACCTCGACCAATGACTGTCGAAGAGTTCCAACAAAAATCAAACAACCCTCAAGAGAGCGAAGAACCCCAAGTGTTCACTCGACCTATGACAATGCAAGAATATCAGGAGGCAACAAATGAAATTCAAGACAGATCACTAACAGCAAATGATTTACATGGTACGAAATGTCTAGTTTGTGAAGATAGAGCGTCTGGTTTTCATTATTCAGTGTTTTCGTGTGAAGGATGTAAAGGTTTTTTTAAACGGACAGTACAGAAGGCTTTGACATATGTTTGTAGAGAACAAGGAAATTGTGTAATAAATAAATTTACCAGAAATAGTTGTCAACATTGTCGTTATAATAAGTGTGTTGCACAGGGCATGAGAAAAGAAGGTAAATATGATTTTTGTGTAGAGCTTTTAATCTGGGAGGATTATTTCAGATGAGGTTTCTTCTTAAATTGGAATGAAGAAATTAAGGCCTTTTATGGCTTCAATATGTTTTGATAGTCCCCATATATTAGAATTAAATTTTGCCAGACTTGGCTAGTTGATCTGACCTTGTCTATACATAACAACATTATGTTGTAGACCTCATTCTTATGTCAGCATTTGATTTGTTCAAAATTAGTGGTCAAATAAGATTTCCTGTCTTCTTAAGATTTTAGTGAGTTGATGAAGGTTTATTGTTACTAGAGAAATTGTTTTGAAGACTTTCTGGAATTACAGAATTCACAGATGTCTGAAGAAACCAGGATAGTACAAATAATGGCTATAAATGTCTAGACTATAAATAACTCTTAGTTGTAGAATGCTAATAATAGTATGATATTTATATTGTAGCTGTAAGAGAAGATAGATCACCTGGAGGAAAACATAGATTAAAACGACCACGATTAGAAGAAATACCAGGCACTCTAGACGCTAAAGATGAAATTTATGATTCAATGATAGAGACATTAGTTAATGCTCAACCTGATATATTTCCTAAATCTGAAAGTAGGTTTCTTTGTCTATGGTAGGGAATTTTTGTGCCTTATTAGGCCAATGAAGATGCCATTCTTAGAGGTTATTTTCTTAGCACTTTTGAGCAAATACTGATTAATAAATGCTTTACAAATTTTTTCTATGATATCAGCATCACTGACAATGGAATTGGGGATGAAAAAGCAAAGGTACTATTTCAACAGAAGAGATTGAACATAAGAGGTCTAGGCTATTACAATGATAAGCTTATATGTTATTATATTATAGAAAATTTTGGTGGTAATATTGGAGTGAATGATTTAATGCAGTATGGCTATTTAGAATTAAAATTTATTATTGAATGGGCTAAGAAAGTACCAGGTTAGTTTCACAGGAAGACTTGTTTAAATATCAGAAAGTATAAGAAGTTCCCACCTCATGCAGTGTTTTTAGTTCATATCTTAAGTAAACAGCTATTTGCATGACTTTTGACGTTTTTCTTGAAAAACAAGGGTGCTGATGCTCTAAAGCAATAAATTTCATGGATTTGTGAGGGTCCAGATTCAATTGAGATTTGAAATAAAGTTAGCAAGTATGCTCAAAATTGTATTATTGCTATCTTGGGTTAGAAAACTGTGTACACTAACTTTGTTTGATATATAATTACAGGTTTCCAAGAAATGAGTATGGATGATCAGATGTGTTTATTGAAATCAGCTTTCATGGAATTAAATGTTTTACGACTGGCGTATAGGTAGGTAAACAGTTTCTCAAATTTTAAGAGAGCAGGTTTATATTGAAACAAAAATATCAAGTGAATCAAAATTGGTCTTGCAGAGTGAAGTTTCCAATATGCTATCAGTATTCAAATATCTTCAACAATACTGGTCCTATGACAATCAAAAGAAAAGATAATTCTTTGAAAGGCCCAGTTTGCCATCCGTGCGACCAGTCTGAGAGCCTTCAAATCCACGTGTGTCCAGAATTATCCACTTTTGAAAGTTTAAATGATGACTCGTCTTTTCTTGAGACTGCCATATGCAATGAATAGAAAAAGAACATGAAAGGTATTTTCGAAGGAAGTATGCAAAAATGGCGAATCTGTCCCTTTAAAAATGTTCGGAAGTACTGCACTACAGTTAGAGTAAGTTAGCACAGATCATAAAGAAACATGTGACTATTTCTTGAATAAACTTTCTAATGAATTAATAACTACTGTTTTCAGATCTATGAATTTAGATAGATGTATTAAGTTTGCTGAAGGTGTTGTTATACCAACTGATGTAGCTCAAGGAATGGGGTGGGGTCGTGAATTAGTTAATGCCACCATAGAATTTACAAGTCGTTTACGAGAATTAAAGATAGATCGTACAGAGTTTGCTATATTGAATGCTTTAGTCCTTACATTTCCTGGTATGTTTTAATATTTATATAATTCTATCCAAAATTGAAAAATGATTAAGAAGCAATTAAAATAATGGTTCAAAGAGTTTAGAGCTAATTTTCAGCTATATCTCAATTTAGAATGATATGATTTAATCATATTACTTTGTTTTTTTTTTACAGTAACCCAACTTAACAGGTTTTTTCACTATTTTTTTCAGATGCCATTGGCATTCAAGATAAATTACAAGTTTTAGGTCTTCAAACCAAAATACTAGATGCACTACGTCGATATACTTCACGTAACTATCCTACAGAAACACGTAGATATGGAAAAATATTGCTAAGATTACCAGCATTACGAACAGTTAGTGCTAAAGCAGCTGAAAAGTTTTTGTCTTTAACTTTAGATGGTTCCATACAACTGAATGATCTAGTGTTTGAAATGATTACATAATATTTTAAAATCTCAATTCCTTGTATTTATACATAGAAGACACATAATCTATTAATCTCTTCTCGTTCCAAATGTATGTCTGTAAAACAGATATTTCATGTTGGTGATGGTTGTTGTTATTTTGTATATTATAATTTAAACAAAGCTGCCTGAAATGTTTTCAGTATACAACAGTAATTATTTCTGTTAGTGCATTTTATTTTTTTACTTCATTATGCTTCACTTGTAACAAGTGTTGTACCTTCGTATACTTTTGATGAGAGGGGGGTTTTATTGTGAACACAAGGGTTCTTGTTAACAAGTAGCCTTCCATCCTATTCAGATGAGGAAATGTATTGTGTACTATGGAAATATAGATGTATGATTTTACATTTTACTTTATAGTTAAATAATGAATTGAATATTTGTAATGAATGAAATAAATGGAAATCATTATGTTGTTATTGTAAATTTGTAGATTGGTGAATGCCATGATAATAAATGTTGATGTTTAGAAAGTTGTCTGTATGCCCAATTTTTACCATTTTGAGGAAGCCTTTCAAATTGACATGTTTGAATCCAGGCAGGACTTAACATCAGAAAACCACATCATTTAAAAGATTATTTTTCAGTAAAATTATCCTTTCAAATATATACATGAAATTGGTATGCATTACCAATGTACATAATAACTGTAACTAAATCAAACATTCTAGAGATTAGTTTATTATAGGAGGTGCATCATAATATCTAACACTCATCTTCAAGATAGCTTGCCAGGCAAGGTAATATACGCCCACTGATAGCTTTGTTTGAAATTGAATATTTGTTAGAAAATAGCAAACATAGACACCAGGAAATATTCAACTTATACCCAAATCCATCACAAACTGTGCCATCACAAGTTAAAAATCAAACACATTTGTAAGAATAACGGCAATAACTTGTATTTTATATTTCAAAAGGTTTAGTTTTGATCGTGATCAATTTCATCAAGTTGTCAAATTTGTTTTAGACTTCTGCTTTGTAGAATAAAAATTACGTGTTTTACAAGATTTTTGATCAGATTTATCCTTGGGTGATTTCAATAAGTCTGTCATGAATTGTGTATTTGCAGATTATATTCAAGCAAATTAGGTTGAAATATTCTGTCAAGAATTGTGCCTCCTAGAGCAATAGGGCTATAATTCATACTACATATTTTTCGATTTCCCTGATTTTTCTATAGGGTTTATCCTTAGATGAATACGAACACTCATACCAAGTTTCGTCAAAATTTGTCAAGAATTGTGCCTTCTAGAGTGTTTACGAGCTAAAAATTGAACGGTTTGCAAGAACAAGGGCAATAATTCATACTAAATATTTTTCGATTTCGCTGATTTTCAATAGGGTTTATCCTTGGGTGATTACAAACACAAATACGAAGTTTCGTTAAAATCCTTCAAGAATTGTGCCTTCTAGAGTGTTTATGGGCTAAAAATTGACTGCGTTTTCAAGAACAATAATTCATACTAAATATTTTTCGATTTCGCTGATTTTCAATAGGGTTTATCCTTGGGTGATTACGAACACTCATACCAAGTTTCGTTAAAATCCTTCAAGAATTATGCCTTCTAGAGTGTTTACGAGCTAAAAATTGAACGCGTTTTCAAGAACAAGGGCAATAATTCATACTTAATATTTTTCGATTTCGCTGATTTTCAATAGGGTCTATCCTTGGGTGATAACCAACACTCATACCATGTTTCGTCAAAATCTGTCAAGAATTGTGCCTTCTAGAGTGTTTACGAGCTAAAAATTGAACGCGTTTGCAAGAACAAAAATTAACAAGGGCAATAATTCATGCTAAGTATTTTTCAATTTCGCTGATTTTCAATAGGGTTTATCCTTGGGTGATTGCGAACACACATACTAAGTTTCGTTAAAATCCGTCAAGAATTGTGCCCTGTAGAGTGTTTACGAGCAATTGTGGACGGACGGACCGACGGACATGGGTGACGACAATATACGCCCCCCATTTCATGTGGGCGTATAAAAATATATACTCACTAGATCTCTGACAAACAGTAGAATACATGATATAGAAAGTGGACAGGATTAGATTTAATATACACAATGTATTATACAATAATTTAAAATACATTTAACCTAATATATACACAAAATTGTCATATACAATACAACACATATTCTCTACGGAAATTAACATTCAAATAGGTCTATGGTCTTGAGAAAAACATTGCCACCACATGTACTCATAAGACAACCAAAACATAATAGCATACCAATGATAATGTATTATTGCTTCTACAAAACTCACACTTACTTCATTCATGAAACCTTATATAAGGGACAGATGCACCATATTGGGGGGTTGATTTGAGTCTCAAATATATGTATATAGTCGTCAGAAGTACAAGAAATGTACGAAAATCACATAATTCCTTTTAAAAAAACGGAACTAGAAGTTTCTTTTCCTATTTCTATAGATGTCTTTTCTATATATGGCACTGTCTCAAGAACTTTCAAACGCATATAATTCGAGACACATATGTTCAGAAGGCTCAAATTTCAACTGTGAGCTGTGAAAACTATTACTGATTGGCTTTTCTAAAAAAAATTCATGAATCTTAGACTAAAATACAATTGGTAAAAAAAAGGCCCACCTCCCAACAAGATGATGGGATAACATGTTTACCAGGCATATTTGATGAATACAATATTCAACCAATCAAATATTATATGACAAGTAAGGAATTCTTAGAAATTGATTATCAAACATTGACTTGTATTGACAGCCCTTTTTTAAATGCGTTTTTATAGCATTCAATTAGATAATCCATAGAATACTTGTCAGATCATAGATAGTCTGTGACCAACAATTAGATCTACATATTATTAAATTGGATACTATTTGTCCACTTATGAGTTATAATAAGTAATTCAAGTTCAAAAGGTTTGGCTGAGATTTCAAATGATAATGATATAAATGTATAAAATATAATATAAAATTCCTATATATATACTATTATGCTTTTCGTGGTTTAATCTTTTTCTTTAAATAAGGCTCTGGTTCTGCAGGTTCATTATAATCTCGTTTGACTTGTTGTTCACCAATTTTAGTAACTACTGCTTGAATCTGATTGACTGCTTGATTTGCAAAGGGTAATAACTGAAACAAAAAATAAAGATATTTCTCATAAATAACTCACATTTATAACTGTCAAAGCCACACAAACTTGCTGGATGCATGTCGAGAATGAAAATAATTATCTTCAAAAAAAAGTAAGCTACAAGGTTTTATCATTATCTGAAAAAGAGATGTCTTTCTTACAGAATATATTTCCATTAGTAATTATAATCTTACTCTGATTACCCTGTATGAAAATGATTATCTCTGTAAAAAAAGATTAAATTACAAACTTTCCTACCTTTTGATAATTGTAGACAGCATAAATTAATAACAATGTAAATGGTAAAACTAAAAATGATCCACGACTTAATTCTGTATCACCACTACGTCTCTACAATATAGCAATAATATTTGTAAAATAATTCAATTTTATTATTGCAAATGCATTGACTTCAAAGAGGAATAAAATAGAAGATGTTTGTTTGTTTACATAATAACAAACATGTAGGCTTGTTGCAATTCTGCAAGTGAGAAATTATAAAGGAAAGCTAATATTTAGATAACTGCTCCTCATATAGGCCGATCAAGATCTTAACCACACCAGCAATTGATGTCATCAGATTTTAATTATAGAGGAAGACATTAGTGCTGTTGAGCTACACCGGATAACAAAAAAATTCAAGAACTAAAATAACAGAGATAATAGTTATACTAACCTGTGGATGAAATTGAAATGTAAAATGTTTATATGATGTATTAGCTGAGAATATAATCTCTGGTAAATCATATTTATATAGGTTTTTAGATAGAGATGTTTCTAATCTTATTATATACTCCTGTAAACAGAAATAAATCATTCTATAGATAAAACATAGCCTTTCAGTTTCTCACTTATATACAAGTCTTACTGTATAATGTGAATACTTGATACTTCCTTGGTATTTAGTCATTGACTATAATGAACATTTTTATGGATATAAATTGCTGCTTTAACAATGTAACTTATGAGGATAGTTCTCTCACCTTTATCAAGCAAACAGTGTCATTGTTATCCATAAAGTATGGAATATATTGATAAATTGTAAAAATAATGTAGTTATTGCATCATCATCCATAATAAACAAAATTCTAATGTACAACAAATGGCATGGAATCATCTATTCTTTGTTTATTATATATGTATGTAAACTTGATCTAATCTGAGATAAGAATTAAATGGATACGTACTGAGTTATCTATTTGTACTGATGGTAAGAAGAAGAAATAAGAACGAGATAATGATATAGTTTGTATTGGTGAATCAGGATTCTCTTCTCTACTTAATATAACCTATAATAATAAAAATAACACATATTTAATATAGGTTACTATAATTTCTACAACATATTAGGGTAATGAAGACTGCCAATGCCAGACAAGATAGGATAATTACACTCTTCTGTTTTCCATTTGCCTGCAGATCTTAAAATCCTAGACCTGTAGAACCTGTAGCAATTTAGCCATGTCAGCCCCTCCAACCAGCATGTGTCGTGTGCCTGACTAATTCCCAAAACCATACAATTTTTGATAATCATACATATATTATGAAGTGAAATACCTTTAATGTAGAGAGAAATTCATCAGTAGTTATCATATTACCACTAATATCCATTTGATTCATATGTCTCATAGCTATAATATGTAGATCTTTAGTATCTGACTTCTCTACCTGAAATACATTATTCATTTACTCAATTTTGAGAAGGATGAATCTACTAATTTCTACTGTAATTAAACAATTGCTTCCAAAAGATATTTTTATTCTGTGTAAGAAATTGATTGATAAGTAAAGTTGAATTCCAAAACACAAAACACCAGTTTACCTTAACAGCTGTAGTTTTAGGAATAGATCTTTCTATATGTTTATTTTCTTCTCCTGTTTTTAAACTGACTTCATACAGACAACCAGGCTACAAATAAACAATTATTACTGATGATGATATAGTTTACATTTATCTATATTTAGATTCTTTGTAATTTTAAACACTATTGCTCAGATTTTGGCATATAGTGGCCTGGAACAGAATTTTATACCCATTCTTATTTTCAGATATCTTGATAAGATATATATATATATATCCTAAAAATCAAAAGAACAAGATTAGCTCCAGTCTATGGCAAGATGACAACATATTTCTCTTGTCCAAAAATTTCTCAAAACTATACATTTATACATCTATAATCACTGCACATTCAATTAACAAAGATAGCTTGCCAGGCAAGGTAATATACGCCCACTGGCAGCTTTGATTTTTAACATAAATATTTGGCAGTACAGTAACAATCACCAGTATGAAATATTCAACCTTCAGACATACACTTCTTTTGAACTTTTCTGGGTGATACTAAACAATTTTACATAGATTCATGAAAATCTGTCAAGAATTGTGCCTTCTAGAGTAAAATCATACAAATTTCTTTTTCTTTTATATATGGCATAGTAGTTGACAGACAGTCAATTTTCACATACTCTCTAGTGTGTCTTTAAGAAATGTGGACATACAGGCTTTTGGACTGAGATACAAAGGTGACAACAATATAAATCAACATTTTCATGTGGGAATAGCTGGATTTGACTATCAGTTGGTAAAAAAATTATCTAAACTGCACATCTTTTTAGAAAACTTTATTTTATTGTCTTTAACTGTTAAATAATAATAAATAACATTAAATCAAAATAAGAATATGTCAGCCTACCTGTAAACCTCTAATTCTAAAGGAACCATCTTGTTCTGTCTTACTCTCTTCTTGATGATTAGAACATTGTGCACTGACAGCTTCTACTATAATATCAGATTCTCCTTCACCATTTAATGATGTTACTTTACCATAACAACTAGAATATATTTTATTTTCACATCATGTTTCAATTTAACCTGACAATAACTAATGACAAATTTCAATTTTGTCATGGTGAAAACTCGAAAACTAGGGATTTAAAAATGGATCAGAGGAACTCTCATATAATGTGGCATTTTATTCTCCACAGACGCAGATATCCCATCTTTTTATATTTTCGAGGATTTTCAGACTAGTATCAATTGTTATGGTAGCTAAAGTTAAGGTGTTTAATTGTTAGGCGAGGCTGAAGATATATTCGAGATGGCAACCATACAATTTGAGTTTTGCACAGTAGCAAGAACCCCAGAGATTCTCTTGAAGAGACTATAATTTGCGAAACTGCATAAACAATTTGACTAATAGGACATGCATAAGACTATTTTATTGTAGTGTTTGAATAACCAACTTTATTTCTTATCAGTCTGGAACACCTGTGTTTGTCAATTAAAATCTGAAAAGCCATTTCTGATATAAATATTATGACTTTCACAACAACACCTTACCTATAGGCTACTCTGGAACTTTTAATAACTATCTTTTCAGTGGTACCTTCTTGTACATCTATCATTTGTGATACAGGTTCGAATTTATACTCCTTCATCATTGGACGTAGAAAATACTGACCAGGACTCTAAAATGATATCAAAATATTATTTTTATTATGGAACACCAATAAAAAGATTTCAAGAACCAATCAATACTTTTCTAACAGAAAAACATAGTTTAATTCGTATTTGGTGCTCTTTCTGAGTAACAAGCGCTTTATCAAAAAATATTTGGACATGCAATGAGTCACCTATTGAAATGACAAGCTAAGAATTAAATTAACAGAGCGAACTATAGTACAAAACATAACAATATTGATAATTTCTCAAGTTGGCAGCAATAGATTAAGGTTTTGTTGACTATTAGACATTACTTACCAGAGCAGTAAAATGTAAAGAGCCATCAGTTTTAGTCAAATTATTATTTCTATACTGGTTACCACCACTTAATGATAATAGTACACCAGGTAGAGCACTACCCATTTCATCTAATACCTGTCATAGAGAATGATTGTGTGAATGAATGAATAAAGGACTGAATGAATGCTTATCAAACGTGTGTATTTAAAGGAATAGATTAAAGTCACTATGTGTGAGCTAAGCATGAAGAATATAGCACTTGCACAATATAAATAGAACATTCATCATCTTCCCTTCAAATTTAACTGTTTTCACTGGATAGATCATACTATATTTATCATCTTATGTTCCTTTGTGCTTTTTATATTATCAAAGAAATTGTAGAAGTGAAAATTCAAGTCAATGCTTGAATTGTATTAGTATATTGACACACATACCTTGACTGAAATCTCTCCTAATTTAAACGCTCTAAATGAGGCTAATTTGCCCTTTTCTTTTGTCATAATATAACCATCTTTCTCAGCTGATACAGTATATTCTATATTACTATGTAAAGGACCAACTCTACAAAATCAATCAAATATATATTCATTTTACATTTCAGTAAAAAATCTGGCTTAAAAGACTGATGGTGCTAGGAATGATCCATTGCAACCAAGTGAGACATCAGATGCATAAGCTCTCTAAACCTTCATAAGTCCAGGACTTCACTTAATGAATAATACTGTTCTAAACATTTGGCTCTTTAGTAACATGCATGACAATGTCAGCATTCTTTATCAACTGGTTTAAGATTTTCTCATAAGCTTACTTGAATTTTCCACTAGTATCTGTGACTAAATGTAAAGGTTCTATAGAACCATCTGTAGCTTCTACAGTAATAGATGCTCCCTGTATAGCTGGTTTAATATCTCCATTAATAAACACTCCCTTTCTGCCTTCAAATTTGCCGACTTCACCCGGACACCCATCTTGAAAGGAAAACACAAATTTGATACATTTCATTATTAAATTTTCAGATACCCTCTGAGCAGTTGCATGGTCTACATGCGCCTCAAAGTCTCTCTCTTTCTCCTTTATCCCCCTTCATTGTTTGTAAGTATGTAATATTAAATATATGATTAAAGAAATTAATTTACTTGTAAAGTGTTTAGTATATAACTTACCTCCAGTAATGGTAGTCTCTATAGAAGGAGGATAAAACAAGACTTCAGCTGATTTCACTGATATAACTAACTTTTCACCAGTTCTAAAAATACATTTCAAAACAATTTATCAATTTAATTTACAAGTTTTTACATACTCCTTGTATAACATGTACTGTAGTTCTTACTTTTAATATATATTTAGCTTAATTTTAAAGAAATTGTCAAAAGGCTTTCTAAACTGTATTGAGTCGGACGTCTGTGGTTTCTGTTATCAATTATTTCAAAAGCCCTTAATAAATTCTATCAGCAACTTTTTCAAGATAGACATGATAAAATGCTAAGTTTAGGAAACCTCTTTAAATTCCCTCAGCTAATTTTTTTAACCTTCATCTTTGAAAGATATCTCATAAGGGCATAAACCTTCCAGATCAGAAACTAAACACTTACTTTGACCAATGTGAAAATTTATATTGAAATGGTGCCTTAGTGTTTCTATCTCCTGCTTTCAATGGACCAAGAACTGTAGGTGTTTCTTCTAAATTAGATCTACAAATATAATACTTGAATTAGTTTAAACCATATCATCTGTTATTATTGTATCATAAACATATGAAAGAAACCATGACACTAAAGACTAATATCTCCACTAGGGCATTGGGATCCCACTTAGTTTTTACTGATACTATGATATCATTTTTTGTGTGCCCACGATTGTCAAAGACATTAGCACCTCAATTGTAGGTGATTTTAATTCTGGAGAGTAATATGAATGCTGAAATTGAGCTATACTAGCTGGAATAGTAAATATATATTTTACTGTTTTACTTTAAAATAATTTGAAAACTTACGTGATAGTAACAACAATATCATTAACTTTATCATTAGTATTAATCTGACCATATACTATATGTTGTGTAGCTGTTAACGTTAATAGTAGAGGATTGGATCTATAAATAAGAAACATGTATATCAGTTAGTAACAGATACTAAATGTAGAGAATCTATTTCTACCAGCAACTTATTTCACACAGTGAATTTATCTAAATCAAAACACATTCATTTTCACAACAATGACAGGAGGTCAAATAACTACTGACAGAATAGCACTACAATTCAAACACCTCAGCAGAAATTTTTCAAATGCTAAAAAAACACTTACGTGTCATAAGCATACACATCTTTTTCAAATTTGTGACAAGAATCTGGAGTGAGCTTGTATACACCAGGTTGAGCTAGACAGAATCGGTTTAAACCTTTATTCAACTGGAATGAACCAACTGATCCAGTCTTCTTCTCATGAGCAAAGTTCTGGAAAAAAAAGAACTTCTGTTGAAACTGGTCTAAGAAGTGATGACATGTTACTCAAAATTTAGTCAGATCATGTGAATAATTAAAGTCAGTCAGATCAAATGATAAATATGGATTAAATTATTTTGAAGATCATGTAACAAGTTTGCGTCATGCGATTTTTTTTATTAATCAAGTATTCAGTTCAGTTATGATCATGTTATGAGCTGATCATGTGGTTACTTCAGGTCAGATCATGTATATAGCAAATTTCTGTCCTATGATTATGATGAAAGACTTACAATATTAATGGGATGAGACACACTACATTTTAATATATAACCAGTCTGACTGAATGCGAGACTGGATATATCAGAGTCTACCACTTCAAATTCTATAGCCTTTTCTTTCCAGCACCAACTATCTTGTAGAATTGTGGCTGGAATATTGAAAAAAAAATATCATCAATATTGTAAAGCACAACACCAATTTGAATAGCCAAAAAAGTCTTTTGTAACATAAGAAACTTGCTAGTAAATTTCTTATCAAAATAACCCAGTTACCTAAAACAAATATTCAATTATATTTATAGACACTTGTGACCCTGAAGACAAGTGCTGTTTCTTAAAGTATCACATTAAAATAAATTTTCATGTATAAAATACCTTTATATTTTCCAGGCATAACATTATCTAATATAAAACTATAGCCCTTTCCTGTATCTTTCACCTATAAAATATACATTATTTATATAAAGAAATGCTTACATACATTTTAAAACAATTTTATACTACATTACTTATGTTCCTTTTGTTTAAAGAAGGAAATGCAGATTGTAAAATTTGTAAAAAGAAAACTATCATAAAGCTTATTTCTAAACACAGAAGACAAAACATAAAGAGTACAAACCTGAACTATTTGTTTATTATCTATTCTCTCTATAGCATCCAATGAAACATCAATATTACCACATTTCTCTGTAATTATAAAGTAACATTATGTTCTAGATGATGTTGTGTTGTAAAGTGATGTTTATTGTATTGTAATTAATTGTTCCATTTGATATACATATAGTGCTTGAATGTAGCCTGTGATATAAGAACATATCCTCAAACTATAATCCTAACAAAGATTATCTTAATAAATTACAATTAAACTTACCCATACAGTTAACAGTACCAGATACTTTAGCTCTAAACTGTGAGAATCTAATATCTTTAACTGGTTTGTTGGTAATTGTAACAGTATGTTCTTGTGGTGATAGATGGAGTCCAGCTTTTATTTCAGTAGCACTCAGATGTATCTTTAATATAAAGTTAGGATATGTTACCCACATTGAATTCTCCAGCCAATATCAATCTTTGATGATAAAATAAAGACTAAATAATCCAAAGCCCTTAACAAAAACATAGTTTTATCAAAATCTGGCAAAACCTCTTCAGCATTCATGTGAAAATTGTTATTTTTTTATAGCCTAAATCATGTATGGATGGATAATAAAAGAACAGAATAATACACTATGTTAAAGAAGACTAATAGTTGAAATAATAAGCAAATGCTACTTACAGCCACAATATATTTGCCAGGTTTTACTTTAGTACAGAAATGTCCATCTGATTCTGGTGTAATAGATACAGCTTCTGATTTCTTACCATCACGATGATATATAATACGTCTTTGAGATGATTGAGCTGGTAATCCTTCAGGGAGTCTATCTATTATTACTTGTCCACATAAACTAAAACTATATCAAAATATAATATATCATTACTTGTCCACATAAACTAAAACTATATCAAAATATAATATATTATTACTTGTACACATAAACTAAAACTATATCAAAATATAATATATCATTACTTGTCCACATAAACTAAAACTATATCAAAATATAATATATCATTACTTGTCCACATAAACTAAAACTATATCAAAATATAATATATCATTACTTGTCCACATAAACTAAAACTATATCAAAATATAATATATCATTACTTGTCCACATAAACTAAAACTATATCAAAATATAATAAATAATTACTTGTCCACATTAACTAAGACTATATCAAAATATAATAATTTCCAAGTGGGTGTATAAAAAAGTCATTAAATGAATATCATCAAAGATGTACAAACCTTGAAGCAATGATATTTGGTAGTTGAGGAGAAGTTGGTGTAATTTTTAAACTGACATCATCAAAATAGATATCTGTAGATTGTACTGATAGTTTATATGTACCAGTTTTCATATTCTCTAGATGATATACCCCATCTTTATCTGTTGTAGTCTGTTCATTATTATTAATCAAAATTTTAGCTTTGGCTACTCCACTACCCTGAAATATCAAATAAAATAGAGTAAAATATCTTACTATTCTGTAAAGTGTACTGGTAACAATTAGAGTAAATATTGCACCCAGATCCATATGAACAAAGTAGCCACTTGACATCAATTTTTCGAGGATGCGGAACAGTATTTACAAATTATTTCATAAGCTATTTTCCAAGTCAAAGTCTAATATTACATACCTTTTCTGAATCCAGAACTCTTCCACTCACAGAAAACCCTGCAACATTGAATGGTTCCTGGAGAAACAAGAAAGATCCATTTACTAACACTTCACTTTTAGCAATAAACTCAATTCAAAGTCAGATATGACAAAATTAAAATACAAACAATTCCACCAGGCTTTGTCAAAATAGAACAAAGGCCTTGTGTCTTGTAAACGAGGGCAATCTTAATTTCTCTTGATTTATTTGATATTTGATAAGGCTCATCCTAGATTGATAGTCAAGGATTGCAAAAAAATTACCCCACACATTATACCTTTATAGTGTTTCTCAAAATATATTACAGAACGTGTGCCCATGGATGGCACTGATAGATGTTCCACATGAGTTAAATCAATAAGCCAAAACTGGATTTTTTCCATCTGTATTATTCAGTATTGACCTTACCTGTAAGTTAAGAGATTGATGTTCCACTTCAAAAGATAATTTATCAGGTAAAACATCAAACGTGATATGTTCTCCCTTATAAAATGGTATAATTTCATATTTTCCAGTGGGCAACGAGGGGAACACAAACTTTCCATTATCACTTGAGGTAACATAACACAATGGTTTATTGGCTTGGTTTGTTTTATAACCTTTTGGTGCTGTCTTCTCACAGCTTGTTATATCCTGAAATATTATGAAATAAACTTTCTTAGTAAAAATTGCAAAAAAATATAGAGTCTATCTCTTTTTATTAATTTTGTAAAGAATGGGTCTCAATGCTTGTCAAAAGTAAAAATAGTTAGCTGATAGCTTACCTGTTGCTTAACGGTTGATGAAAATAAGATGAAGTTAACTCCCTTGATATGCTCTCCTTCACTTAAAACTTCACCCTGTAAACAAATAAGAAAGAGTTTCTGAATAAAAAAGTAAAATACACCAAAAAGTTTTGCTCTTAATTCAAATTTACTTTTAAGAAATATTTCCTGAATCATAACATGCTGTTTGACAAATCTGCCAAAAATAAAACAATAATTCAATTAGTTAACTTCATTACTTTCCTTCAAGAATAATAAGTATCTAATTGGTGTATAGTTACAAGGTGTTATAATAAAATGAGAGAAAGTAAACTCTAACTTACAGTAACATCATAGCCTGATATAACTAAATTATCTAGAACTTTACCATTATCTTTTACTACTTTAACTGTTGATTCACTCTGAAATAAATATAGCTTACATCAGTTTCAATCATTGCTTTCTTATAAAACATTATATCACTACAAAATCAAGAAACATTTGGGTATACATATGCTCAAAAATCTATGGCTTATTTAACAAACTGAAAAGCCATATTGATATTTAGAACTTAAACACATATCATTTTCAGTTCAAATTCAAAAATACTGTATTAACCACAAAAACCTTGTTGCAAACTGTTTTTTTGATAGATATATTAGTTATTAACAATCTGCTTCAAGAAACTAGAGAAAACTACTTGAAATGACAACATAAAGATTTTAATTACCTTTTCTAATTTCCATGTGGGGTGAGAAGCTTTAACTTTATATTCTCCTGGTAATACTTTGGTGAAGGAATATCTGAAATGAAAGCGTTACCATGAACATAAAAATTAGAACTGGGTAAATTAGTGAACAAATTCATGATAAATAGAAAGTCAAGGAATTGAAAATTCTAGCTGTTAATATGAAATGAAAATAAAAACAAACTTCTTTGTAATGTTTAGCTAAATGAATTCAAAGAAAGCAATCCAGACAAGTAAAACAATATACTTCATACAAACCTTCCTGTGTCTGCTGTTTTAGTTGTTTGTATTGTTTCACCATTAGATGATTTGATCAGATGAATACTGACACCTGCAGGTCCAACTGATTGTCCCTTACTTATTACCTGTAAATTAGATCAGGCAAATTGAGAACCACTGTATAGATTAGGCCAATCCAATTTTTGTCCATTTAAGAAATAAGAAATTATTATAAGGGTTTACAATCTGACATGTGTGTTGGCAGATGAGCTACAGTTAATGAAAGTCAAACATCTTTGTACTGTATAAATTTCCTGAAGTCGCTTAAACCAACTGAGTTAAGCCTTACTTTGCTCATACACCATAAGTGCAATATTGGAAAGTTTACCCTTTTTTCAAAATAAATGTGGGTTTGTATCTAAAACTTTTGTAGGAAGCATAAGATGAGCCCTTTGTCAATTAGACAGCAATACAACCATTCTTTATTTAAAATATTCAGGCCCACTTATTTCAGTGTCATTAAGAAAATCAGCCGATCCAATGGTAGCTGTACAAAGGAATATGCACTCACCTGTCCTAGTACTGAAAAGCCAGTGAATAAAAAGTTGATATCTTCTCCTTTACTACATTGATCATTAATACCATCAACTTTTAATTCTACACTTGTTGGTTCTGAAAATAAAAAGAATTGTAATATAATTATTTCATTTTGACCTACACATTGTCTTAACAACAAATTCTCACATAAGTCCATGTGTTTCAACAACAAAATATAGGTTCAGAAAGTAAAACACACAAGCATTAAACTGTAGGTTATATTTCACAAGCATACACAATCAGATTTAAAGAGCAATGAAACAAAAATAATTTCACAATCATTCTTACCAAAACTCCATCCCTGAGGAGGTTCAACTTTCATAACAAAATCTCCTTTATCATAGAGAGGTATAAGATAATAACCAGTATTTGGTGCACAATCAGTCTGATATTTCAAACTTCCATGAGGTGTAAATAACTTGACCTGCAATAAACAAACAATGTTTCTGTTTATGTACTTGTTACTATTACTTAACAATATTTAGTTTTCCCTAATGTGATTATGCGTAGCCTAGATGTACTACAGAACCAAGACAGAATGTACTACTGATTGAATTTTTTCTCTCATTTTACAAATATTCAAAACAAAATTTTCAACTTTGTGCCATTAGTCTTAGAATGTCTTCAGTTCAGGTCATTAGAATATAAGGTTCAATGATTTTACATTTGAAATAAACACACTTCCCTCCAAAAAAATGACCTACTGGTCCTTTAAGGACAGAAAATGTTTAAAAAATAATATACTTTCCAGTGGATGACATTTTAAGCACCCCAAAAACAATGTAAAACTCTCAGTAGTATTTTGTAATTGATATTTCAATTCATCTTGAAATGATTGCAAAAATACAATTCAGAAAATGTATTTCAAATTACGGCTTTTGTTGAATGATTGTAACTGTCTTTAGGGTACTTTTTAGGGCTAGTCTTTGGATTTGAACAATTATTTATTGTAAACAAAAGATATGTGTAGTCTGTGTAGGCACTGCCACCTGGGTACTCATGCCCAGAGCAGAGTGTGGATGACAATTGACATGCTCTCCTTAATAATAGCATGTTGAAAGTTTTCAAATAGTTCAAGGGCAGAGAGTGATGGACTGTAAGACAAGACAATACAAAATTTAATGTCATTGCTAATGATTTTGATGACAATCGATCGACTCGATGATAATACTGATAACGTTGAATCAATCATCAATGAATGGGGCCATGATGAGTTGATGTTTTAAGAAACTTACCACTACTAGAGAAAAATTAATATCAATATCGGATCTTACAAAGCCACCGCATCCTAAAACTTCACCTGCATTGCAATTATTAACATTTAAAGTCAATAAAATTGCAAATAGAGAAAAATACATTAAACTATCCGTGTTCTTCATCTTTCACGTCGTCGGCTTATGCCATAAACAAGTCTAATATTGTCGAATGCTGGCTGTCGTAATAAAGACGATTCTTAGTGAAAATATACGCTTCTCGTTCAGATTCAGAATTCAGAAAATCTGTGGTTATGTGGCAATCGTCGTTTGTAACATCGATAATTATAAAGGAGTCTAGGTCTTCTTTTAAAAAGTTGAGATTTTTACGACATGTGTGGAAGCAGTGGGCGTGGTCTACTCAAGCCACGTCTACACCAGTAGAGAAGTTTTTAATCCGGATTAATGTAATTAACTTCTACGTGGAAGGTGAAATGGAAATGTGACAGAAAAAACCAACAAAAAACACATACGCTTTTCAATTTTGCTTACAGACTGACATAATAATAATGCCAGCTGATAATTCACTTTCGTTATACTTATAGTAGAGCAGATAACCTACGAATACTGATGCTGATATGGATGATTGGTAGAATCAGACATATCATTCTGTACCTCAGAGTCATGGTATGTCCAGAATAACTTGTATGTAGAAAATAAAATTCTTTCGAAATGAATGTAGTTTATAATTTTCACCTGATTGGGCTCAAGAAGTCGGGCAACTCCATGCAGAGTGCAATGGACAATATGCCAGGACAAGGGACATCAGCCTGCTCTTTTAACAATTTCCATTTGTCAAGAGAACTTTTAACACACATATCATACAACACGGTTTATCATCCCATACGTTTTATCAATGTCAGCCTTCCGACCTGCATCACCGAAAGAAGGAAAATAGTGCCAAAAAATCCGATATCGTGTTAGAGCTAGAATTGTACTGAATAGTGTTTTGATGATTGAGGGTGCATTCGTTCAACTGTGGTCTGAATTATTTCTGATATCTCCCTTGAACTTTCAAAATTTCACGTTATCAATGTGTGAAAGTCATAGACTTATTTCCTCTCTTGAAATTGTTAAATTTTCCAGCTCTATTCTTGTGTTCAAGAATCGATTTTTAATAGATAGATGGCGGATGCAATTCATTTTAGACTATCCTTACTTAGATATTTTGTATTTCAGATATTTCCCATAATTAGATATTTTATATTGCATCTATCCCTACGCAGATATTTTGTATTGAATCTTTTCCATAATTAGATCTTTTATGTTGCATCTATCCCAACACAGATATTTTGTATTGAATCTTTTCCATAATTAGATATTTTATATTGCATCTATCCCAACACAGATATTTTGTATTGAATCTTTTCCATAATTAGATATTTTATATTGCATCTATCCCTACACAGATATTTTGCATTGAATCTTTTCCATAATTAGATATTTTATATTGCATCTATCCCTACACAGATATTTTGTATTGAATCTTTTCCATAATTAGATATTTTATATTGCATCTTCCATAATTAGATATTTTATATTGCATCTATCCCAACACAGATATTTTGTATTGAATCTTTTCCATAATTAGATATTTTATATTGCATCTATCCCAACACAGATATTTTGTATTGAATCTTTTCCATAATTAGATATTTTATATTGCATCTATCCCTACACAGATATTTTGTATTGAATCTTTTCCATAATTAGATATTTTATATTGCATCTATCCCTACGCAGATATTTAGTATTGAATCTTTTCCATAATTAGATATTTTATATTGCATCTATCCCAAAACAGATATTTTGTATTGAATCTTTTCCATAATTAGATATTTTATATTGCATCTTTCCCTACGCAGATATTTTGTATTGAATCTTTTCCATAATTAGATATTTTATATTGCATCTATCCCAACACAGATATTTTGTATTGCATCTTTTCCATAATTAGATATTTTATATTGCATCTATCCCTACACAGATATTTTGTATTGAATCTTTTCCATAATTAGATATTTTATATTGCATCTATCCCTACACAGATATTTTGTATTGAATCTTTTCCATAATTAGATATTCTATATTGCATCTATCCCTACACAGATATTTTGTATTGAATCTCTTCCATAATTAGATATTTTACATTGCATCTATCCCAACACAGATATTTTGTATGGAATCTTTTCCATAATTAGCTATTCTATATTGCATCTATCCCTACACAGATATTTTGTATTGAATCTCTTCCATAATGAGATATTTTACATTGCATCTATCCCAACACAGATATTTTGTATGGAATCTTTTCCATAATTAGATATTTTATATTGCATCTTTCCCTACGCAGATATTTTGTATTGAATCTTTCCCTACACCCAGATTTTTTTACACTAAGTTTTTTTGGGGTATTTAATTTCTAATGTGCATCTTCATGCCCTACTTTCCTATATAATTTATATATATATGATTTTTGCAGGCTGTTTTGGGATTAGAATATATCTAAATGATATTCAGAAATACCAGAACTGTAGGCTACGAAAATCGTATGCCTTACGATTCCTTCAAAATTCCCCAAATACCTCGAACACTGAATTTTCTTCTTTTTTCTTTTACACATGCAGTTTGTTATCTGCCTAAAAATTGGAGAACCCTAAAATTGTTTGTCTTGTTGATAAGGTCTAAGAAAATACGATGTACGAATAATTTTTGATTATCCCGTCCTTGATGGCGGAGTCCTGATAAAAAGCGAGTCGTGATTTTTCACACAAGGATGATCAGGAATATACATGGCTAAGATGGCCATAATTTCGATGGTAACCTGTAGGGCCTAATCACTATTTCTGTTTAGCTTAGCTGAACAATTACCGTTTCTGAGACCAAGCTATATGATTGATCTCCTAAAATGGTGAACTATGGCCTTTAAAGAACTATTTCTCAAATCCTTTCAAAGGTTTCCAATTTGATCTAAATTGAGGAACAAGATTTAAATGTCAATTTTGATTTAATTTAAAGGGTTTCAAAGAACTTCAAGAAAATCAATAAATCAACTTTTTTCCAGTTTCAAATTTAAATTTAGTTAGAGGAAGCATTATAAAGTCACGTTCAATTTTCCTATTAGTATGCAGTGGCCTACTGATACTTGCGGCAATGTTTTACACATAAGCAAACCAACTTGATTGATTGCGGATTCAACGCTGCATAATTATGTTCTATATCGACTTTTTACATATCTTAGCATTGGTTTGAAACGATCGACCAATGATCTCGTCGAAAGAAATATTATAATGCCTTTAATTTAGCCTCCATAACTTCCACAGATTCTTTACAATGAAAACACAAATCTTTATTTCAAAATACATGTATAAAAAAAGAAATTATTCGATATCTTCCACCACTAATTTTGTCTGTCTGTGTCGTAAAAGTTGTCCATTTCAAATACATTGTAAGCATTTGAAACTTATAGAAACAAATTCATTGATCCATGAAAATTTAAGCATCTATAATGTACTTCCGATAAGGGCTGGTATGATGTTTGTAAACCATATAGTAGAAAGATTAGTTTCGACCAGATGTAGATGGTACTTGAATTTAGTTTAACTGAATAAAGTTTTAGATATCTTGAGATATCTTTCCAACTTGTCAAACATTAAGATAATGTAATTTGTGCTAAGAATATCACTACTGATTCTACGAAAAAGACTTAATGAAACATTTCGTGCCGATTCTATGAATAAAGGGCTTATTACATCACTTGAATAATCAGCAAATTCATCACTTCCAGCACCTTGAATTATACTGCAATCTATACACCATCACCACACTGTCTGTCTTTTATCATAACACATGGCCGGATAAAGGTTAAAATTACACCATAAGACGTCAAACCGTTTGATAATATTTCTGATTTCCAAAGTTCAACGATCTGAAAAATTCATTCTTAAGAGATAATGATTTCATGTTGCCATGTATTTTGATCTTTCAGAAATTAATTTGATATATTCCCTGAAGCTCTTAGGCAGAGTATTTGATGTACAAAGAAAGCCTGTTAATGGAATAACATCTTAATGATGAAAGACTAGGTTTTGTTTGGCAAGTCTTAGATATACAAAGTATTTAAGATATCAATGTGTAGTAAGCCCAAGGAACTGCCCGTAACTCATGACTCCTGAGAAAAGTGATTATTGAAGTAATTTGACAAAATCCAACCATTCAAAGTAAAAGTGGTTTGAAAAGTTATCTTAACGATGCAATAATTCTGACGACATGTCTATATTCTTAACCAGGTTTCTGAACTATTTTGGATAACCTACAATTTTCAAGCTATTTTCAGTAAAACCGAAAGGTTATCTCGTCAAACTCACCTGGTACTCTCTGATTTATCTGGTAACATATTAGTCATTAGAGTTATTTCCCCATTAATAACCACACGGATATCTGAACATGTTAGTTTTCTAAATATCTGAAAAACAATTACCTATGATCAATACATGTATATAATAGATGTTTTAAGATCTATTTTTTGGAATACGTAAAGCGAGGTCAAAATATATTAGAATTTCAGTAAAACCCCCCATCAAAGTTTGCGATTATTCCCAACAATAAGAAAAGCTTTTATAAACAGATTTTGTTAACAGTCTTTTCAAATCAAGAATGTGAAGTAACCCAAAGACAAAAAAGAAACGAAATACTTCGCGCTGTGTTGCAATCAGATTGTGATGGATTTGCTCATTATATTTGATCAGCTTTTACCATTATCTAATAATACGTTAATGTGGTATGACAGCAACCTCCCCCATGGGGCACCGTTAATGTGAATACAACCTAGTTCTCATGACAGCAGATCGAATAGATTCAAACCAAATGGACATTTTGTGTGAATGTCGGCCAGATACATCGCTATAGAGAATCCAGAAGCTTAGAAAATCTTTATGCAGTTTAGAGTCGACATAAAACCAACACTGGCACTGAAATCAGAGATGCAAACAGACAACAATTCAACTCGCCACTTAATATTTTATAGATAAGAAATCATTCCTATATCAATCTTAAAAAAAGAATGTTATCAAATTTAATCCATCTTTCTGAAAGTCGCTACAATACACGATACTTACAAAATAGCACGGAGCTGAAACCAACCAACATAACCCTAAAAATATAATCCATTTCGGACTACAGTCAAAATAATGACTATATATGGAATAATTGGTGACGTAAAGGCGTGTTCTTCTCATCTTCATGGAATGTATGTCATCACAACTAGTGAATGCGTCACGGTTTTCTGTGTACCACGATTTCATAGTTTCTGTCAAATCTATCTGAAAATAGAAAATAGCATTTAATCATTTTGATGAACAAACTATGTAGGTCTATACAATTAATTTCCTTGAATCTAAAAATAACATTAAAGGAACCTAATATTTTCTTAAGACATTGTACAATTTTGCATCAAGCAATGTAAAAACACACGTAGCCTATATCTTGAACTAACAAAGCAGCCAAGCAAAGCATTTAAATGTCAAAAGAATCTATTTTCTCCTTCACAGTAAGTCGATAAGTTAATGTGGCCTGAAGCGACTTAAAGGTATTGTAAAGAGGTTTTCTGTCGTGGACACTGATAGCATCAATTTGTACCATTCAAAATTTCAATTAGGCGTCTGTAGTTCCTACAATTCCACTAAAACATAAGTGTTTGATGACGCCACTAATCGCGAAGGCCTTATGTGATACCATCGTATCATAAATACGGGTTTTGGCATGGTCTTATTAACCCCGAGGAAGTATGACGAATGGGGGTGTGGTTTTGCCACGAAGATGTGATACCAGCTTACCGATTAGTGACGTTAACAAACCTTCTTTTTGTGGAATTGCAGAAACTAAAGATGTCTGATTGAAAATTGGAATGGTGCAAATTAATGCTATCAGTGTCCTTATACATGTATACATAAAATTTTCAAAAACCTCTATACAATACCTTTAACAACAACAAAATTATCGCCTAGCTCTTAAATCAGAAAATCGTAATAGCGGTTACTTAAACTTAACAAAGCTTCAATTTTTAGTGATTCTCTTTTAAACAATTTGACCAGATTTTTTACATACAGAATTTCATCTTTAAAAATCATTTAATACAGATAAATAATTTCTCATTCCATGAATATAGACACTCGACCAACCACAGGATATGTGTTAGCTGTATCAAAGATGTGTTTGAAGCTGAAGAGACAAATTATGTGGAATAAAATGACGAACCTCTAAACAGAATCGACTGTTTTTAGCAGTGTGAACGGCCGCTTCCTGCAAACTATCACTGAACTGTTTCTTTAAGGACGGATGGTTAGAATTAATCAGGACGGCGAAATCATCTACAAAAGAAATCATACTTTTAAAAGACAAAACAAAAAAATACAAAACATTAATCATATGCTATTGTTAGTTGATTTCAAAGGAAAGTCCTCGCAACATATTTCACCATTACCCAAATTAAAATAAATCCCCCAGGTCTACGTATAATAAAGAATATAAGCTGAACTCCCGAATCCATTATTATTTGATACATGATGTTTGCTAGTACATTTCCTAACTGGTCGTTACTTATATGTTAGGTTTCTTATTATGTTAACCTCAAAAGAATATCGAATAATGACTTTTTATTTAATAGCTGTATGGGGGCTATTTTCCACGCCAGATTTAGGATTGAAACTAATGAAATTTCTCACCTTCTAGAATAGAAACTTTCTCTACGCTATATTTACTGGCTATTTCTGTATGTATCACAGTTATGCGCATTAATATTAGTTTGGTCATTAATTCTTGGATAACTTCAGACATCTCTAATGTAGACTTGACTAATATCACTGTTTCATTTCTGAAAATATAAAAAATACTACTGAATAACATTATTACAACATTTTTTGCCAGGCTAGTAATAAATGAAATCACTTCATGATTTTACAAAAAGTATGAAATAATTCATTTAATTTAATGACATTTAAGTTTTTACTCGTTTGTTTTCAGTAACGTTTGCCTCAGTGCTCAACCTTTACAAGATAAAATAAATACTGATCAAATAAAGAGAAAAATAGACTGTCCAGCAGTGTAATCTTGACAGTTGGCGGTGTTGTGTTACAATAATTCTATTAATGGTTGACAAGTCCAAGAACCTACTGAGACATCATCATCAAACTAAATTAATCATAGAAGCATAAAAGTCACGGTTGTTTCATCAAAATTCCCAGTTCTGCCACTTTATATACACAACAGCTTTCATAGGCGACATTTCAATTACACAAATTGAGTAAACAGCAAAATAACTCTTACATGTGTCCGTGGAATCTTCAGAGAGACATTACATAGTAACAACTGTTTTGTTATTTTGTTATTTACGGTTATATTGCCAGATAGTAAGACTTATGTACGGTTTTGTTGCCAGATAGTAAGACCTATGTTAGGTTGTCTGGAGAGATAGTCAGACCTATGTACGGTTATGTTGTCAGATAGTAAGACCTTTACTGGTTATGTTGTCAGATAGTAAGATATGTAATGTTGGGAAGGCAGATACTAAAACTCAGTCTGGTTATGTTACCAGATAGCAAGACGTATTTACGGGCTATTTTGTCAGATAGTCAGGCCTAATCACGATTATGTTTCCAGAAAGTCAGACCTATTTACGGATATGTTGATAGAATTGTTTAACTAGATAGTAATATCTTAGTCATTCCTATTTAGATAGACAGACCTTTTTACGGCTTATGGTTCCAAATAGTAAGTCTCATGTATGGCCGTGAGGACAGGTAGTTAGACCTTTACGGGTTATGTTTCCAGATAGTCAGACCTATTTACTGGTATAGTCAGACCTATGTACTGGTTATGTTTCCAAGTCAGAACTATCCACGTGGAAAGTTGAAATATATTCAAGCTTTATTAAGTCCAATCCATATACGTGTTTTTCCGATCAACGCACCTTACCTCATCCTTGATTTCCGAAAATTTGGTAATTCTAATCTCTCTATATCATATAAATAACGATTTGTGTAGTCATGAAAAACAGAGAAAAACAAGAAAAACAATCCACAATGAAGATAACTTTATATTAGGTAAACTAATAACATATTTTATGACTGTTAAACTAATAGCACTTTTTATAGCCATTGTTCATCAATTTCTCCTTTCTAAATTACATTTTAATTTAGTAAGAGACAACAATAGTGAAATGTATTAATGTGTTTATTCCGTGTAATAGCCATTGAACCTCTGTTTAATGCTTCATTAAGTCATCTGGATACAGCGCGACTCCATTAACTTGGTCAGTTAAATCTATTTCCTGGAAACTATGGGGTGTTTTCTATTATGAATCAGTTACAATAGAAGAAGCACTTTATCAAATCAGAACAGAACTATGGTATAATGTTTAAGTGTTCGAAATACCTCAAAACATGAAACCTAAATGATAAATATTGTAGCCTATGTATGCAACTGTGCATTTGCTATTGGGATAGCTTATTTTCCGAATCTCTGTCGTTTATAGGACTACAAAGTTAAATGTTAAATAATAATCCACTCGGCCTTCATATGTTTCTTCAAAAAGGAAGAAATCTCCTCGGATAAGACATTGTCAGTATTCAGCAAAGCTCAAATAGAACTGGTCAACAGGTCTACAAAACTGTTTTTAACTATTAATAAAGAAGTGGTAATGAAGCCTTTTTAAGCTTTCTTTCTATCATGTAATAAATTGCCACAGTTTAGTTGACGTCCGGTGTTAATCCTATTAACCTATATTGGTTAATAAACTAAACATACTTATCCGTTCTATTCCTCTTAGTTGATTTCTTAACATACAACTAGAATAATGAATAATGATCAGTGTTTTATCTTATTTATCTATTGAATTAAAACTGGTCTGAAAGTTTTCTTACTAAAGACTGATAAATACAATTGTCTGGATCTACTATCAGATTGGAACAGACACGGGAGACTTCCAATCCCCATTAAACACGTTTAAAGGGACATGTTAACCATTCTTCGATTATTCGTACCCTAGTCTTAGAAACAGGAGTCTCTTAACTAAGCTAACAATAGTGTTCTCAGCTTTTCGTTGAAATTTGAGCCTTGCGTATTGATAATTATACGCGGTTGAATGCTGCTAGTCTTTTCTTGAGACTTCCACAGGTTGGACAGGATTTAGGTTCATAACTGAATTGTCCTTCAAAGTCTTCTAAATGGTTATAATCAAAAGACCCTAAAACCCGAATACGTCAGAACGACGTGACGTCCATGGGTTATGTCCATTTGTTATAAATAATTTCCAAATCTCGTATCGATCTTCAAAACTTCAGTTCTTTCTATGTTTTATTACAAGATTATGTCGCTTTAATATAGCTTTATTCAATTATTATAGATTTTCCCTCCCTCAGTCTGTTATTTTTGTAGTCTTCTGAAGATAAGGATTAGCCTAATATTCCTCTTTCAGTTTTTAAATGGTAATTCTACAAGTCTCTTATCTGATGTCTCAATCTAATAAAACCGTATAAGTTAGTTTTCAATGACCAACAGACTTAATGAAACTAGAGATATAATATGACAGGTGGACATAATGAAACTATAGATATAATAAAAAATATAACAGTGGGATATGATGAAACTAGAGATATAAAATAACAGGTTGACTTGACGAAACTATAGATATAATAAAACAGTGGACATGATGAAACTATAGATATAATATAACATATGTACATGATGAACCTATAGATATAATATAGCACATGTACATGATGAAACTAGAGATATAATATAACAGGTGGACATGATAAAACTATAGATATAATAAAACAGGATGTACAGGACGAAACTAGAGATATAATATTACAGATGGACATGTTGAAACTAGAGATATAATAAAACAGATGGACATGATAAAACTAGAGATATAATATAACAGTTGGATAATAATGATGAAACTATAGATGTGATATAACAGGTGGACATGGTGAAACTATAGATATAATATAACAGGTGGATATGATGAAACTATAGATATAACATAACAGGTGGACATGATGAAACTAGAGATATAATATAACAGGTGGACATAATGAAACTATAGATATAATATAACAGGTGGACATAATGAAACTATAGATATAATATAACAGATGGATATGATGAAACTAGAGATATGATAAAACAGAAGTTTATGATGAAACTATAGATATAATATAACAGGTGGACATGGTGAAACTATAGATATAATATAACAGGTGGATATGATGAAA